TCTCAATCTTGCGGCGCAGTGGGTTTGTCTACTGGCCCTGGTGTGCGTGGCAGTCATGCATGTGCCTTCTAAGCTGACAGTGTGTCGTCGCTCTCACGTTGTTGTTGTCCGGAAGTCTTTGTGGCCGGATCTTCTTGGGGGCACTGGTTTGGAGGAAATTGGTTCCAAGTCATGGTTGGACAACATCTTGCAGGGCTTGAATGCCCGACAACTGAAGCCACCCATGCAGCAAGTTCGGATGCTCGCGCAAGATGAAGCCACTTTGCGGCGACTACAAAAAAGTGAATCGCTGAAACATCAGCTTGACATTATTTGTGGCGCTGCTTATAAGGCCAAGTTGTCGTGGAAGAAAATTGATCAAATTGACCCTGTTTCTTCTACTCTCTCAACTGCTGCCCCGGCGGCTCCTCCTCCTTTGCCTGAAGTGCAAACATGGAGGTTGCGTGCTCGTGACTGGAAAGTTGTGAAACCAGCAGCTACCGATGGTGACGCTGTGAGTGGAGAAAGGCATGATGCATTTCGCGATGTGGCTGATGGGGACCCTTTGTCGCACTTGTGGTCTCGCAAGTTAGGTGCCTATTTTGTGTCTGCGGTTGAGGCTACTCGCATTGTTCGGTCCGTTCCTGCCCATGCCCCTCCAGTTGGTGTTTTCACTCTTGTCACTCTTGAAGCAACTGCGCGTTCTGAGGTGCAACCGGTCGAGACTATTGTTGTCTTTCCTGACAATAGTCATCACATTTACAAGGTTTTTCTCACGCACCTCGGCACTGACAAGTTGAGAACTACTGCTTGGACTACGGTATCGCTTGCTTCGGTTGACTCTGTTGAAGTGTTGCTTGAATGGTGGAAAGATTTGTCTGATGGAGCTGTTTTGGCTGCCTTTGATAAATTTGTGAAACTTGCTTCTTCGCCTGTTGATTCTGATAAGGACTCCTTGGCCAACAAGGGCAAGTCCAAAGGCAAAGGCAAGACCAAACATGGTAAACTGCCTCACCGTTTGTCTGACACTTTGGTCGCGAATTTGAATTCACACGTGAGTCATATGCTTGGCGATGCCACTGGCCAAAAGCTGGCTGGCGCATGGACCGCCTCCGGCCACAATGTCAGGGCTGATATCATTCGCGTTTCTGTTCGCCTCCCAAAAGCGGATGCCCTTACCTGTTTGAAATCGGGAACGCAGCACAGCGCCGTTTTGGTTCGGGATATTCACACCATTCCTGAGGCGAAAGACTTGTGTTGCGTCTGGATTTCTCCTGGCTGTCCTGTCCTTGAAGGTTCTGCGGCCCACACTCGCCAAAGTTTGCAGTTGTATTTGGCTAGCTTTGCTCACCCTTGGTCTGTTGTGCGTACTCCTTTTCGTTGGGGGATCAGGATCCACAAAGATCATGAGAGAGAAGTTAAAGCCATTGTGCAGCCGCATGCTGTGTTTGTGCCTGCTGATCACTTCAAGTATCGTATTGCGCATGTTCCCAGATCCCTTGATCCTGCTGTTCTGGTTGCCACTCTGACCTCTGACTCGTTCAAGCCCTACTTGGTTTCGTCTTTCAAGGGAGTTGTGACCATAGCTGCGCTCTGTCCACCTGCGGACATTGTGTTTACAATTGCTGAGCTTGGTTGTACTCTGTTACTTCAGCATCTTCCTGGTCCTGCCAGTGGTGGTCCTCCTCTTGTCCCGTCCCGCCATGTTGAAGGTGCGAGCCCAAAGCGAAAGAGTCGGCGAGCTGACTCTGAAAATGCTTCTGTTGGTCCTGACAATGACCATGGTGCTGACACTCGGGGTGGAGCTAAGGGAGGGGTTCTTTCTACTAATCCGTTTGGTCCTTTGGATGATGCCTATCAAGTTGTTTTTCCGCCTTTGCCCAACGCTGGTGTTGCTCGGGAGCTCGCTTCGACCGAACCTGAGTTTGAGCTTGGAACCCTGCCTAATCTCGGGAACACATGTTTTGCGGCTGTGGCTGTCCGTTGTTTGGCTCACATTGTCAAAAAGTCGGATTTGCGCTCGTCTGTCCTTCAAGATGTTTCCTTGAGGCGTTTGTTGGATGACTTGTCGCCGGCCCAGTGGACGCGCTTCATCAAACATCATCACCTCGAGCATGGTCAGCAGCAAGATGCTGCTTTGTGGTTGCAGAAGTGGTTGGACTCTGAGTCGGTTTTGTGTTCGCATCTTTCTGTCACTGAACATGTTGCTCTTGAATGTGTTGGGTGCAGTGAGCCCAAGACAGCTGAATCAAGTTTTTCTCTTTGGCGCGTTCCCGCTCCCAGTGGCGGCTCTACTTCGTTGCAGAAGCTGCTTGATGATGATCAATGCTGTTCGGCCAACCCTGAGGTTGAAGTCTCGTGCTCATGTTGTTTTGCTGAACACGCGGAAGCTGTGTCTAAGCATCTTTCTTTGAATGACTGGCTTCTCATTCAGACTCTGAGGGCTGATGTCAATGATAAGAAAAAACACACGGCTATTTCACTCCCCGACACGGTTGTTGTTGCTGATGCGTCTTGGGATATGCACCTTGCCGTGTGTCACTTGGGTGAGTCTGCGTCTTCCGGGCATTATGTTTTGCTTGTTCGCTCAGGTCACGATTGGCTGTTGTATGACGATGGAACTTGTCGTGTTGCCTCTGCTGAAGACATCTTGGATATGCCTTCTTCCTGGTCGTTTGTGTTGTATCGTCGGCGTTGTGAAGGATCGTCGCCGCAGTCTCCTGCTGTTGTTGTTGACATCGCTGCCTTGCCTGCATCATGTGCTGATGCCGTTCCTTCGTCAAACCCTCCTGTTGCCCACCCCACGGTTGGTCCTTGCAGGGATGACCGCCCTGACATGCCGTCTGCTGACAAGCGTGCTGACAGTGTCAATGATTCCAGCGGCCCTCTCCATGCTGATTTGTGCAGCTTGCTTGCGGTTTTGTCTCAGCGGGTTGATGCGCTTGAGGTTGAAGTGCAATGTCTTCGGGGAGCTGGTTCCCTTCATGAGAAGCTTGTGTCCTTGGCTTGTCCGGGTTCTGGTCCGTCCGTGCCTGTGCGCTCAACTCTTGGCGATGCTTGTTCTCCCGGTGGTGACCGTCTAGGAGACACGGTTGCGAGCAACCCTGGCTGTGATGCGGATAAGCTTGTTGTTGCCTCTTGTCAGGGTCAGACCGGGATGCAGGCCCAATCCTTCCCCTGTGGCCCTCCTCCCCCGGTCGTTGTCGAACCTGTTCCTTCGGACGCTTTACCAAAACGGAAAAAGCCAGTCGAAAAACAAAGCAGCAATCTGTCATCAATTCCTGTGGGCTCTTTTCCCCGTTCCACCAATCCGGCAATTGTGGCTGAAATCCTTCGCTTGCAAACTGCTGGCTTTGCTGAAGTTGCTTGGATTTTTGAGCGCTTGCACGCTGACTCCATTTTGCTTCCTTTGGCCCAACAGGCGCAAGACGTTGGTGGTTGGAAAAATCTGGGTGAAGCTTTGACTTATAACAGTCGTGAAGCTCAAACTCAACTCCAGAATGATGGCATCCATAGCCCAAGCGTCCGCTGGCTTGTGTTTCGCATGCTCCAGCGTGGGAGGTATAATCGGTTTGCTTCTGTCCTGGCGGCTGGTCATTGGGACCTCTTGCGTCAGAGTTTGGCTGTGTGCGACGTTCCTGACTGGTGGTCGCCTCCTTGGTGTCGTCCTGTCCATCGTCCGCATGCTGCGCAAGCTCGTGGTCGTCGCCCGTTGCTTCCTCATGAATGGCATCGCGCCCAAAGTTCCAAACGCAGTCGCCCCCCTGTTCCTGCTGCTCCTTGTGTTGGTGGCCCTGTCCGTTCGCGCAGTCGTTCCCGTTTTTGCGATCAAACCTTGCCTGTGCCGGTTGCTCAACCTGCTGTTGTTGGAGCTCGTAAGGTCTCTGTGGCTGTTCCCACCTCTTCTGTGAAGAACAAGAAGAAGCGCAAGGCGAAAGGCCAAGCTGATGTCAAAGGGGGTGAAACTGAATCTGGTTCAACTCCTTCCTTGTTTCGGGTTGCTGCTATGAATGTGACTTCCCTTTTTTCCCGTGTTGCTGCGGTCTGTGCTCTTACGTTTGGTCTGGCGTGTGTCTCGGAGACTGCTCTCACCGGTACCGGGCAAGCCAGTGTTACTATGCGACTGCAGCAGTCAGGGCGTTGTGTAGTTTGGGGCGCTCCTGTGCATGGTCCTGGCGTTTCGTCGTCTCGAGGTGTTGCCTTGATTGGTGGTCCTGGCGTTCGTCTTTCGCCGCTTGATCTCCCGGATTGTCTGTTGGATTATTGGGCAGATGGTCGTATTGTTGCTGGCAAAGTGTCTCAGCAGTTTGGCAAAGCGGATATTACTTGTGTTGCGTGCTACGGTCACGCACATGATGTTCAACGGCGAGAAGACATGCTGAGCCAGATTGTTGGTTGGGTGCTGTCGTTGCCCGGTCATGTCCTTGTCGCTGGGGATCTCAATTCCTCTCTTCAGGATTCACTTGCTTTACACCAGCTCGTGCGGCAGGGTTATCGAACGGCCAATCCTCAGGAAGTTGTGACATGCTGTGCTCATAACTCTCACACGGGTTCCGTTATCGACCATGTCCTTTTTTCTCCTTCATTGTTGCAGTCCTTTGTGTGTGGGGAGGTTCTCTCTGCTGCTCCCTTCCCCACCCACCGACCCGTTTGCGCTGATTTTGATTTCAATCCTGCTCATGACTCTTGGAGTGTTTTGCAACCTCCTCGGTCTTTCCCTCTTTCCGAGTGTGTCTCCCGTTCTGTTAAGTCCCAGGATTGGTCTGCTGACTTTATTCATGTCTCTAATCTCCTTGAAGATGAACGCCCTGATGATGCGTATGCTCTATGGACCCAACTCGCTGAATGTGAACTTGCGCGGCAGTGCCGACTTGGTGGAAAAACTGTGTGCTCCTCCCATTTCGGTCGCGCTGTTGTTCCTGCTCTTAGGGTTTGTGATCCGCAGTCTCTTCGGCTCCAAGGTGATGTTGACTTTCGTCGACTTGAACGCGCTCGTGCTGGCTTAGCTGAACTGTGCTCCTGTTGGGATTCTTGTGTTGCTAACAATCACAGCCAAGCCATTTGGACCAATGCTCGTCGTCGCATCCTCCTTGTGTTTCGCTCCCATCCTCTCCCGAGCCAACTCCCTGGCAAGGTTGAAGTCCAAACTCAACTTGATGGGTTGCGGCGCACGATTGATCGGCGCAATAAACAACGTCGCGATGAAGTTTTGTCGGCCTGGCGCACTCGCATGCAAATGTCGCAGGCTGAAAGATTCAAATGGGCTAAGGCCAAATACACCTCCTGGCAAAACATTCACGATACCGCTGCTTGCTTTCGAAAGGTTGAAGAGATCTGGCAACCGATCTTGGCTCGACGCCCGGATGCAGCCCCTTCTTGCCCATCAAACTTCACCGAAAATGGTTTTGCTGAGCCTGCCTTGTCTAGCTCTCTCAAAAGTACGTTGCACCAGCTTGATATGCTTCGCATGTCTGGTTCTGATCTTCGGTCTGCTGTTGACAAAATTGCGGCTCACTCCGCTTGTGGTGCTGATGGTTGGCGTCGGTGTGAGTTGCTTGCCTTGCCCGCCTGTTTTTGGGATCTCTTGGCTCAGGTTTTGTATGGCATGGCTGCTTCTGGCACTTGGCATCCTTGTTTGCGCACGGTTGTGACTACTTTGATTCCCAAGAAAGCTTCTGTTGACTTTCTGACTGATCCTGCTGGTTTGCGTCCGATCTCTGTGGCTTCTGTGGTTTACCGTGCTTGGTCTGGTGTCGTTGCGCAACGTCTGCATGCTGTTTTGGAGTGTTCTCTGCCATCGTGCTCTCATGGCTTTCGCACTGGTGAGTCTGCCCAAGCTGCTATGGCCTCCACGTATCTTCGTTGTCAAAATGCTTCCTTGTCTGGTTGTCATGTTTATTTGGTTTCCTATGACATGCACAAGTGTTTCGACTCGCTTCCTTGGCGCAAAGTGCGTGACAGCTTGGTTGAATGCGGCGTGCAACCTGCGTGTGCTAGTGCTCTTCACAGTCTGTGGTCTGGTCTTCGTCGTATTTGGAAACTCCAAGGTCGTTTCTCTGACGCGTCCTTCTCCAGTACTAACGGCCTGTTTCAAGGGGACCCTAGCGCTCCGGCGTGTTTGTCTGCGTTTCTCTGCTGTCCTATTCGTGAGTTGGCTCGTCGTTTTCCTGAGGTTTCTATCTCGCTTTATGCTGATGATGTCCTGTTGTCTTCGCCTCATCTGTCTCAGCTTCACGCTGCGCATGATTTCTTTGTTAGTTGGCTTCAGGACCAGCATGTCACCTTGAACATCGGTAAGTGCAAGTGGGCCAGTACTTGTCCAGGCAATGATGCCGTGAGCGCGGCTCATTTTCAAATTGGAGGCGTCAACTTGGGGCGTCTCACTATTTTGGAAATATTGGGTGGGCATTTTGATCTCGGCGCTCTCTGCGTTGGCTCTTCTGCTCACTGGACTGCGTTGTTGGACAAGTTCTTAACCATTGCCAAACGGTTCAAGTGTTTGTCAGTCGGGTATGAACCTCGATCTAGAGATATTGGGGCTTTGATGAATATGCTCACTTACTCTGCTATCGCTTGGGATCCTCTGAATGCGGTTGATGCTCGCACACAGCGCATCCTTGTCAATGTGCTCTCTGGTGGTCGTACCAATACCCGTAGGTGCTTAGAAGTTAGTCTTGCTCTTCTCAGTCCTATTCATCGGTCCTCTATTCCTCATGCGCTGCTTCATGAACAGGTTGCGTTGTTGTTTCGGCTGGCAAATACCAATTTGGAATATCAACAGCTTTTGCAGTCCCATTTCCATTTATGTTCTGAAATGACTTGTCCTCCTGCTGATTCCTTTTATGTTCGGCTACAACAGGCCCTTCAGGCTTTTGGGTGGAGGTGGGTTGCTTGGAATCAACTGGCGTCTCAAAGTGGACAAATGTTTCATCTAGTCTGCAAGACCATGGAATGTCGCCGCAGAGTTATGTGTCAATCCTTCGCCCAGGCCTCTGATATGGCTGATGTGATGAAAACTTTTGCAAGCACACGTTTGCTTCATAAGAGGGAACTGCATCAACATAGCCTTTCATGCTTGCATGCTTTGCGAGATGCCATGCGCCATGTGTGTTTTCAGACTGCTAGTCGGCGCAGACGTGACATGCGCAATTTGGAACATGTTGATCGGGCCCTGTTGCGTCGTGTTCTGGGTTCCGATGAGGTTGCATGCAGTATTCGTTGTATTATGCAAGGTGCCACTCTCACTGCTGATCGTCTGAACCGGTCTTCTCGCGGTACTGTGTCTGCTACTTGTCCGTTTTGTCGCCTTGGTGTTGAAACCGAGATTCATCGTTGGTGGCAATGTCCGCGTTGGGATTATGTCAGGTCTTCCTGCTTGGGTGAGCATGCCCCTGTGATTTGCGCCCAGCTTGCTGCAAGCGACTCTGTCGCATCAATTTGTGGCATCCCCACTCTGGGTTTGTCAGCTTTTCTACAGTCAAAGTGGGTAGACATTTGTGCTTGCATGGCGGCTGTTTTGGGGGCTGCCAATGAACATGATCAGTAATTTTTCGTTGGCTCTCAGTTTTGGCGTGCATCGGCACTGTGTCCGTTTTGTGGATGCTTTGTCCTTGGCTGTGCGCATTTCTTCTCGAATTTGATCCTTGTGATTCTTGTGTATAGCTTGTCTGGCTTGGATCTTTTGTTGAATCCGGGGCAGATTGCATTCATGCGCTTTTCCAGCATGATCTTTTGGCAACAATTTTGTGGGCCTGTGGCCCTTCACCTGGGGTGACTGATTCAAGTTCTTTTCTTGGGTCCGAGATCCCTCATCTGCATTTTGTAGGTGAAAATTGGATCAAGATGAGGCCGATGAGGCCGATGGAGCCGATGAAGCCGCTGGAGCCTGGAGCCGACGGAGCCGCTGGAGCCGATGAGGCGGATGGAGCCGCTGGAGCCGATGAGGCCGATGGAGCCGATGAAGCCGATGGAGCGGATGAGGCCGATGGAGCCGATGAGGTTGATGGAGCCGATGGAGCCGATGGAGCTGGAGCCTGGAGCCGATGGAGCCGCTGCATGGAGCTGATGAGGCCGATGAGGCCGATGGAGCCGATGAGGCCGATGAGGCCAATGGAGCCGATGAGGCCAATGGAGCCGATGAGGCCGCTGGAGCCGATGGAGCTGATTAGGCCGATGGAGCAGATGAGGCCGATGGAGCCGCTGAGGCCGATGAGGCCGATGAGGCCGATGAAGCCGATGAGGCCGATGAGGCCGACGGAGCCGCTGGAGCCGCTGGAGCCGATGAGGCCGATGAGGCCGATGGAGCCGATGAGGCCGCTCAAGCCGCTGGAGCCGATGCGGCCGATGGAGCCGCTGGAGCCGCTGGAGTCGCTGGAGCCGATGAGGCCGATGGAGCCGATGGGGCTGATGGAGCCGATGAGGCCGATGGAGCCGCTGGAGCCGTTGAGGCCGATGGAGCCGCTGGAGCCGATGAGGCCGATGGAGCCGATGAGGCCGATGAGGCCGATGGAGCCGCTGGAGCCGATGGAGCCGCTGGAGCCGCTGGAGCCGATGAGGCCGATGGAGCCGATGAGGCCGATGGAGCCGCTGGAGCCGATGAGGCCGATGAGACCGATGAGGCCGATGAGGCCGATGAGGCCGATGGAGCCGATGAAGTCGCTGGAGCCTGGAGCCGACGGAGCCGCTGGAGCCGATGAGGCCGATGGAGCTGCTGGAGCCAATGAAGCCGATGGAGCCGAGCCGATGAGGCCGATGGAGCCGACGGAGCCGATGAGGCCGATGGACAAGCCGATGGACAGGCCGATGGACCAGGCGCGCCACAATGCAAAGCACCCATGCTCTGAAAGTGGCGCTTGGCGCCGGAGATAAATCCTATGCAGTATTGCCAGTATAAAGAGAGTTGCAGGTTACAGCTACATGTATCGAGACACCTTAACCCATTCCACCATGCCTACACGCACAAGAAGTGGCGCCGCAAAATCGACGCCAACCGTCAATGGCACGGCCCCCCCCCAACCACCACCATCATCAGCATCATCGTCATCATCGTCATCGGTTTCGTCATCGGTTTCGTCATCGTCATCGTCATTGGCATCGTTCTCGTCATCGGGATCATCATCATCATCATCATCATCATCACCATCATCATCATCATCACCATCATCTTCATCATCATCATCATCATGATCATCATCATCATCATCATCATCATCATCATCATTCCCTCATCCTTATCATCCTCCTCATCATCATCCCGATCATCTGCCGCATCCACTTCATCATCATCATCATCGTCATCATCATCATCATCATCATCATCTTTATCATCATCATCACCATCATCATCATTAACATCATCATCACCATCATCATCATCATCATGAACATCATCATCACCATCATCATCATCATCATCACCATCATCATCATCGTCATCATCATCATCATCATCGTCATCATCATCACCATCATCATCATCATCATCATCATCATCGTCATTGTCACCGACATTTCCCTGCTGACACTGAAGATACGTCTTCCCTTCCTTCTTTCTCTTACCCCGCTAGCTTTCGTCATCCACCCCCGGCCTCAAGTTCACACGGGGGAAACGGCATAAGAAATCAACATGAACAACAAAAATAACACATTTTTTTGATAATAGTTTGTGAACAAACACTTGCATGATCTGCATTTGTTAGTGCAGGTGGGACCTCAATTTTTTGTTCAATTGTTTGTATATAAAAAATGAAACGAAACAAAACATGTTTGCAATGTGCATGTGTGAATCCCAACAGCTGGATATCAAATGCATGCTGGGATTTTTGACGACATTATTTTGATAATATGGTGTAATTGATTTGTTTGCATGTGAAAATTTTATGGGACAATGATTCTTGTTTTGCTTCAGGTGTCACTCTGATAATTAGTCTTGACCCACATTGATTGGCCAATCTATGTTTGTCCGACCGAAGGCTGGTTCGAGCAGAGAACCCGGCATCAATCAATTTCATGTTATTCAATTTATTCGTTTGCTATGATCATGGTTTTTAGGTGAATGTTTGAATCACAAATATGTCCGTGAATACATTTAGTTGTTGAGCACCGCGTTGTTTCATCAATTCGAACGCCACCTGAACCTATCGTTTCTGTGCTGCATGGCACCCAAAAAACGTGATGCTAAGTGCCGTTCTCAATCAACATACTGTTCGAAAACAACCCCCATGACAGTGTGAACGTATGCCAGGTCAAATGGCAAAGACAGTGGAGGCACTGGTACGAATTCAAATTGGAATGTGATTGTCCAACACGTCATGGACAATTTGAATTTGCCAGGGTCGCCGTCGAAGCGCTTTCGACTTAATGCCACAAAGCCTAGATCTGTGTTCGATGCACGTGTTGATTGTTGATGATTCTGCCATGCTTGATGGGTTGAACACATTGTATCTAAGGCGCAAACTTCAAAAAATGCAATCGATTTGGATGCGGCACTTTTCCCAGTTTGAAAACGTCTGCACCCTTTGTATAACGACGGAAACCGTGCAACTAAAAAACGCGAGGTGAATTGCAAAGAGACACGCTATTTTATTTTGTAGTATGGGTTCGTGATGCATTTTATTTCATTCGTTCATAAGTTGCGGAACTTAAACAAAATGGATTGTTCTTTTGCATTGCCGGAAATTTGCGTCGTTTCTTGAGATCAAAATGTTGTTGTGTTCAATTTGTTTTAACTCTTGTTTTTGTTCAGCTTGCAGAGTGGGTGGGGCCGGACTTTGTTGGTGTCCTGTGTGAACGTTTCTGTTGTCACAATTTTCACCTTTGTGATTCAAATCTGAACGGAAATATAAGTTTTGCGTTCAGGAAGATGCACAACCAGAGGCTGAACCAGAGGCACGGTTTAGTACATCCCAGATTTGCCGATCATCCTTAAAAATCAGTCGACAGCCATGGTGTGGCTTTCAACCCAGGTCAGAAGCGTGCCCAAGGCAAAGGCAAGTTCCTCAAAGTCCGGCGCTCTGATGTTTGAGAAAAATGTTGCGATGTAAAAATCACAATTTCAGCAATCCAATTCACAAATTGTGGGGATGGGTCAAAACCTACACCACATCTGTTGGATGAATATCTATTTCCAAAGTATCTGTGGCACTTAGAAAACCCCGGGGGTTTTCACCAGTTCAACGTGTAGCCCTGGGCCAAGGTCCAAGTCTTCGACCAAGGAGTCGCCAAAGGAGCCGCCCAAGGTCACGAGGAAAATGCACTTAAATGCACAGGACATTTACCGATAGACCAAGTAGAAAGATGGGGTACTGTAATAGGGTAATAATATGTAACAATACACTATATATATATATATATACACTAATACACATTATTTTATGGGACTTTAGCATTTTCGGGAGGTACGTGGAGGGTCTAGGTACATGTGATGGCATCATGTTTGTTCGCAGAAGTGGACTCGAATCATGTTGCAGAAACCAAAAGACTGAATATGGCATTGACCTGTACAAAACCATGCAAAAATGTGCTGATACCCAGAGGTCTAGTTGAAATTTGATCGAGGGGACCCTTCATGTTGCTGTCATTATTTTTTTGCACACTGCATGCTGTCATTTTCAAGCCTGCCAACCCAGAGCAAAGATGCAGAATCAGCAACCAGCAAGCATCATTCAACAAGTGAAAGGAGCATTCTGGTTTGCTGCCAGTGCCATGGTGATTAAATGCCGATTGAAGTGCGGCAGTTGACCTATGGATCCTATGGCCTTTGGGACCAACTGGAAATCCATCGTGGAAGATGCCGGCTGGGGGGCTGCAGCTTTGTTGACGGTGCTGGCTCTGGTTGCGCTTCTGGTCTTCGCCGTCAAAGGTCGACATCGGAGTTCCCAGGCGCGAGCGGCTCGAGCGCTGCTGGGTGCGCGGAATGATCAGACGCCCGTGGGCAGCTGTGCCAGCACGGCCAGTGATCTTTCAAGTGTCACGCAGATCCAACCAGCTTTGGCGTTTAGTCCCAAGGTTCCATGTGTGATTCGAGTCATCTACCCGATATTTGCCGTGGCATGCTTCTGGCTTTTTGTTTGGGCAGATTTATCTGTGGCAGCTCGAGTGAATGCTGACTTGGAGGTTGCTGGTTCACCACCAGGTACATGGGAGTGGTCAGGAACAATGTCATCGCTCACACTTCTTCCAGCCGCAAAGGATGCCTGGGACAGTGATGCCAAAGCCACAGCCATTTTGCTGGGACTTTTAAATGGACTTTGGCCTTTCTGCCAGACCCTTGTTTTACTGACTCTCGGATGAAATTCAATTTGAAAGATTGTCAGACTTTATACTTTCAAGTCAGACTCTACCAGCGCCAAAGTGTAAAAATCAACAAAGCACGGGCAAAAGGGGCCCAGAAATGCGACCAGAAGCCGAGAAGCCGAGAAGCCGAGAAGCCCGACACAAGCCGAGAAGCCGAGAAGCCCGGCACAAGCCGAGAAGCCAAGAAGCCGAGAAGCCGAGAAGCCACCGGACAAGCCGAGAAGCCGAGAAGCCGCGAAGCCGAGGAGCCGCCGGGCAAGCCGAGAAGCCGAGAAGCCGCGAAGCCGAGAAGCCGCCGGGCAAGCCGAGAAGAAGCCGAGAAGCCACCGGACAAGCCGAGAAGCCGAGAAGCCGAGAAGCCACCGGACAAGCTGAGACAGTAGCCCTGGAACCCCCTCTGAACACTATGTTGCATCTTCACCATCACAAGACATCAACTCCCCAACCCCCTCTGAACAATACGTTGCACCTTGAGACATCAGCCCCGCCACCCCCTTTGAATATATGTTGCATCTTCGAAGATCAAGCCAGCGACCCCCTCTGAACACTACCTCGCCCCGTTAAACTTCTACATTCATTGAAGATCTTCAATGAGGGTTTAATTCTCCCAGCCCCTCTCCCAGCCCCGTTAAACTTCTACATTCATGGACGATCTTCAATGAGGGTTTAATTCTCCCGAGCCCCGTTAAACTTCTACATTCATTGAAGATCTTCAATGAGAGTTTAATTCCTCCCAGCCCCGTTAAACTTCTACATTCATTGAAGATCTTCAATGAGGGTTTAATTCTCCCGAGCCCCGTTAAACTTCTACATTCATTGAAGATCTTCAATGAGGGTTTAATTCTCCCCAGCCCCGTTAAACTTCTACATTCATCGAAGATCTTCAATGAGGGTTTAGTTCTCCCAGCCCCGTTAAACTTCTACATTCATGGACGATCTTCAATGAGGTTTTAATTCTCCCCAGCCCCGTTAAACTTCTACTTTCTTTGACGATCTTAAATAAGGGTTTAATTCTCCCCAGCCCCGTTAAACTTCTACATTCATGGACGATCTTCAATGAGGTTTTAATTCTCCCCAGCCCCGTTTAACTTCTACATTCATGGACGATCTTCAATGAGGGTTTAATTCTCCCCAGCCCCGTTAAACTTCTACATTCATGGACGATCTTCAATGAGGGTTTAATTCTCCCCAGCCCCGTTTAACTTCTACATTCACTGACGATCTTCAATGAGGGTTTAATTCTCCCCACCCCCGTTAAACTTCTACATTCACTGACGATCTTCAACGAGGGTTTAATTCTCCCAGCCCCGTTAAACTTCTATTACATTCATTGACGATCTTCAAAGAGGGTTTAATTCTCCCCAGCCCCGTTAAACTTCTACATTCATGGACGATCTTCAATGAGGGTTTAATTCTCCCCACCCCCGTTAAACTTCTACATTCATGGACGATCTTCAATAAGGGTTTAATTCTCCCCAGCCCCGTTAAACTTCTACATTCATCGAAGATCTTCAATGAGGGTTTAGTTCTCCCCGCCCCGTTAAACTTCTACATTCATGGACGATCTTCAATGAGGTTTTAATTCTCCCCAGCCCCGTTAAACTTCTACTTACTTTGACGATCTTAAATAAGGGTTTAATTCTCCCCACCCCCGTTAAACTTCTACATTCATGGACGATCTTAAATGAGGGTTTAATTCTCCCCAGCCCCGTTTAACTTCTACATTCATGGACGATCTTCAATGAGGGTTTAATTCTCGCCAGCCCCGTTAAACTTCTACATTCATGGACGATCTTCAATGACGGTTTAATTCTCCCCAGCCCCGTTTAACTTCTACATTCATTGACGATCTTCAATGAGGGTTTAATTCTCCCAGCCCCGTTAAACTTCTACATTCATGGACGATCTTCAATGAGGGTTTAATTCTCCCGAGCCCCGTTAAACTTCTACATTCATTGACGATCTTCAATGAGAGTTTAATTCTCCCCACCCCCGTTAAACTTCTACATTCATGGAAGATCTTCAATGAGGTTTTAATTCTCCCCAGCCCCGTTAGACTTCTACATTCATTGACGATCTTCAATGAGGGTTTAATTCTCCCCAGCCCCGTTAAACTTCTACATTCACTGACGATCTTCAACGAGGGTTTAATTCTCCCAGCCCCGTTAGACTTCTACATTCATTGACGATCTTCAAGAGGGTTTAATTCTCCCAGCCCCGTTTAACTTCTACATTCATGGACGATCTTCAATGAGGGTTTAATTCTCCCAGCCCCGTTAAACTTCTACATTCATCGAAGATCTTCAATGAGGGTTTAATTCTCCCAGCCCCGTTAAACTTCTACATTCATTGACGATCTTCAATGAGGGTTTAATTCTCCCAGCCCCGTTAAACTTGTATACATTCATCGAAGATCTTCAATGAGGGTTTAATTCTCCCAGCCCCGTTAAACTTCTACATTCACTGACGATCTTCAATGAGGGTTTAATTCTCCCAGCCCCGTTAAACTTCTACATTCATGGACGATCTTCAATAAGGATTTAATTCTTTCAGCCCCGTTATATATAAATTTCTACATTCATTGACGATCTTCAATGGGGGTTTCCGTGTCGCGCCGCGACGCAACGCCGTGTGCACTCTTGCAGAAGGAAGCGTCGCAGCGCCAACAGCGTCGCAGCGTCGCTCCCGCGTCGCAGCGTCGCAGCGTCGCAGCGCCAACAGCGTCGCAGCGTCGCTCCCGCGTCGCAGCGTCGCAGCGTCGCAGCGCCAACAGCGTCGCAGCGTCGCTCCCGCGTCGCAGCGTCGCAGCGTCGCAGCGCCAACAGCGTCGCAGCGTCGCTCCCGCGACGCAGCGTCGCAGCGTCGCAGCGCCAACAGCGTCGCAGCGTCGCTCCCGCGTCGCAGCGTCGCAGCGTCGCAGCGCCAACAGCGTCGCAGCGTCACTCCAGCGTCGCAGCGTCGCAGCGCCAACAGCGTCGCAGCGTCACTGGCCCAACGGCAGCGTCGCGGCGTCGCAGCGTCGCAGCGCCACCCGCCCCCCGGAGCGTCGCAGCGTCGCAGCGCCACCCGCCCCCGGGAGCGTCACAGCGCAACGTCGGAAACCCACGCTTCGGCCCCCTTTGCCCCTGCACTGAAAATCAAGTCTAGAGCATAGCAGGAGAACCACCTCGTTGCCACAATGCAGCTTAGGATTGTTTGGTTCCTACCCAGTGATTGGCTTTCGCAACCTGCTAGAGGTTCCGGGTTGGGGAGACGGACTGATTGAGTTTGGCAAAGCGATCCTTTTGTTGACAGCTTGGGATCGATCTGCTACGCCAGGTACATTACTGCGATTGTTTGCAGCTTTCGGAAAATGCGGTGTGATCCTTGTTGACCACCGTCCCCCTTGTTTACTGATTCAGTCATACTATCATAGAATCATAGTTGAGTTGATTCATCCCAGCCATCAACACATCAGAGGTCTCCAAGTCCTCTTAGGCATGGTTGCTGCCCAGGCCTGTCTTTTCCATGCCTAATTACCCTGTGGGCTGCACTCTGTCAGCTTCATTGGCAAGGCCACCAGGCGCACTGCAACAGTTGCTTCAACGACCTTTCAGAACAGTTCCAATTGGAATGCATTATCTTGGTTTAGGAGCTTAGGGGAACCAGTTGTGAAAAGCACACTCGTGAAGGATAGGATACAAGTTAAACGGCGTGCTCCCTGTCTGTAGGTGTCTGCAACCTTCAACATGTCCCTGGCGGGGCACCCAGCATGCTGTTCAAGACCACAGGTACCACAGGACCACAAGTTCAATTGGAAATAGCAGAAGTTTATACTTTCCCAGCTCAGGAGCGTGGGCTCTTCGCATTTTTGCTTGCAGCAGTCTTGACAAATGCGTTAGGGCCGGGTGCCCGAGTGCGCTTCCATTTCCACAGGGGTTTGCTTGGTTCCCTTGATCATTTCGCACTCAGCTTCAGCTGGTGCACCAGAAAGATACTCCGCAGGCACTCAGCTGACCACTTTCATTTTCTCTCCGCAACGACACCGACAGCAGTGCCGTGGGCCAGAAGCTATGCTGGGTGATCTAGCCTCTTTAAATCCAACCCTTGTGGCTGCAGATTGTGATTCAAAATGCATAGTGGACAATATCTACATTTCTTTCTGTCAGTACCTTGTGGTGCCAGGTGTAGAATACCGTTGTCTTCTTTTTCAAAAAGCAGTCCGGTGCTCAAAAAGTTCTTTGGGTTCTGATTCTACATAGTGTGAACATGCGTGGTCCAGTTTCGCGATTCTAGCTCTGCCATATGAATTCTGGCGGGCTAGCAATGTCCCCTAATTTTCTCGCATGCAGAGTCGATGCCACGCTTGAGAACGTGGATGGGGAGTGAATTGTGGGCATCAGTGGTTGATGGATCGCAATCAAAGAAATGTCACTCTGTGCACAAAGGGTCAAACAACAATCCGTGATGCAGACAGAATGTATGATTCCCAGCAAGGAAGCGCATCTCTCCCAGCTAGGAACAATTAAAAGTTATGGCAAGCACTGCAACATGGGTATTGTCGTGACTAAAGTGGCCATTGATGTGCGACCCTGGAGTATTTCCAGCGCTAGTCACATTAGCATTATTTACTATGTCATACTGGTTGCAATACGATATCAGATTGCCATCAATCCCAGAATTGGTTTAAGGGAGCCTCCATAGGATATCTTGAGTAAGGTAGGAGATTATATAAAGGCATGGTTTCCTGCAGATTTTCTTGCAGATTTTCCCAATCCATTGATCAAATTTGGCTTCATTTGCATGAATAATATGAATAATGGATTCCATTTCATTTCCCATTCATATTCCATGAATATCCCATTGATCCTCTCCCATTGATCCTCACAACCTAAGGACATTGGCCCACCGTTCTGTGTCCGCTGGTTGCGGTCGTCTTCTTAGCCACCGCCTCAGTGCTGCGTGAGCTGCACTTGAGCGATTCTGCGAGGTGGCCACAGCTGCCTCTTCGGTTGTAACAGCGTGACAAACTCAGTTGATTGAGCTATCCGGGGTCTCAAAATGGAGGGATAGCCAAAGAAAAAGCATATGTTTTTTTTGGGGAATGTGATGACACATTCAATGATCCGCCAAAAAAACATGGTGTTCCAAATTTCGAGACAACCATTGAATTCGGCTGCATGACTTCTTCCAAATCCTGCCCAGGTTTTCCGTGTCCGTCACAGGTGCTTCAGCTGAGGATTTTTTATGGTGCAAAACCCTGACAGCATCGAAACTTCTGAACGGAATTGCTGTTATTCAGGGGGATCATCGTCTACAGATTCGATCTTATCTACGCTCAGGAAGGAGGCTGGTGGAAAAGATCCAGAAAAGTCATGTGCGCGGAAATCTTGCCGGATTCTTTTCTGTCCCACAGTAACATCAGTAACCACATTTTCCTCAATCCCTTTTCAATTGCAGGGTTATGACATCAGGTTGGGGATTCAACTTTACCCAACCCTTTCGGAATCTGCAGGCACAGCCAGAGTACATTCGAAGCTACAGCCTCCTGTCGTTTGGCTTGCGGGTCCTGCTGCCGAACTTGTGAAAGGCAATGTCCACTGACGAGTGGCTTTGCATCCTCGATTCGAATGTAGTATATCTACTAGATATCTACGTATATATATAATATATTTATATGTATATATGTATATATGTATATATGCATATATGTATATATGTATATGTATATATATATATATGTATATGTATATATGCATATATGTATATATGTATATATGTATACATGTATATATGTATATGTGTACATAATCCGACTTCAAAAAGTGGAATGTTCCTTCTGTTATGCCAAAAGAGTTTGAAAGTTGAGACTTTTTACTTTGCTCTTCGTGAAGCACCTTGCCAGCTAGCTGATGCCAACCAAGAAGCTGGAGTCTATGAGAGGCCTTGAGATCAGTGGAATCCCGGGATCAGAGCTTTCACTGCATGCTGCGAGGCTTTTCCAAGTGGTCTTTTTGGCAACATCGCTGGTGGTTCCCATACTTCTGGCAGGCCGAAGGGTATCAATCTGTGCTGTACTTCCAATGTAGCTTCTATTCGAGCCTCTTTCCTTCCTTTCCAACTTTCCTTGCGAAGCCAATCCGGGATGTTCCCACGGGATCTGCCAGGTGTTCTTTTGATTGTGTGGGTGGTGCCTCTGAAGCCACACGCCCAAAACGGGCTTCTCAGGCACGCCCTGCAGACCTAGCTGTGGGTGTTCTGTAGATGGGATCTCACCAGGCTTGGGCATGCGCTTGATGCGTGGGTTGCCTTGGATGAGCCGGCCTTAAAGCTGTCAGATCTGTCAGATCTGTCAGATAAAGAGCGGAAAAAGATGGTGGAATTACTTGTGCAGTTGCGGTTGTTGGATGTTGCTGGAAAAGCAGGCCATCAATGGCTCAGTTGAGGTATTTGCAGTGGTTGTGGCCATTTGTTCTCTGGACTTTGGCAGAATCACATGGTGCTGTGCTCAGCCGAAGCGTTTTGAGTCGGAAGTTCCCAACATGACTTTCTGCTGAAGGTACGCAGCACATCAAGGGGACATGGAAGAAGCATGCCATTGGATCAGGAGGCCCCTGATGGGTTGGTGTTCTTTGGGTGACTGCATTCGGCTGGGGAAGTATTTTTGCCAGTTGCCTATCTAAACTCCACCCAAAGTGCCAGGGAGCTTTCGAGCAATGCCTGCGTCAGAGCGGACGTGAATCTCGAAAAAGGTGCCATGGAGTTGTCGACATGGCTTCAACATCAATCTCTGCATGGTTGCCAGGCTTCGTAATGCTGGCAGCTGCAGCTGTTGCGCTGCTTTTAGTGCCCAAGGCCATGCAATCTGCGTGTTTAACCAGAGAAGAGCTTGGAACATCTTGGTTTCACCAGATCCAGCTTCGAGCAGCTTCGAGCAGCTTCAAACAGCGTACCGATGCTTACTGCTAGCCGCTGCTAGCATGCCGGATTGTGCACGACCAGGTGGCACTTAGGGCTTGTCGAAGGGCAGTCATGAAGAGAGACCAGGCAGGAACAAGGGACAAGTCAGCACCGGTCCATCATATTGTTCTTGTTTTTCTATTGTATGAACAAATGTGGATAATATACATACACTATCATACACTAGTGTAACTATTGTATGCCACATATCTCTACAATTTTATGGATATCTTGTGTTTTTTTTTTGCACACTCTGCCGTGGCCAGTTGAACAGCCGAGCCTGGGCATCTTCTGTTCTGACCTCGCAGGGCCGCTGAAACCCTCGCCAGGGGAAAAAAGGAGATGTGCCCTGCTGTCTGCGAAAAAAGGGGATGTAGACTAGGATCAATTTGAGACTTTCACGAATACCCTCTGGTAAACTAACATAGCTATGGAAAGTCACCATTTTCAATGGGTAAATCCACTATTTCTATGGCCATTTTTCAATAGCAAACCGTTAGTCATTACCAGAGGGTACCTTGGCCACTTGTACTCCTCACATTTTAGAACTTGGAGGTCAGTGGAAAGCCGGGACTTCCCTTGCAAGGCGCTTTGGATCGGTTTACATCCGTTCTCCATGGTTCAGATGCATCCGTTGTGACCTGTGCAGGTGTCACCATGGTGTTCACCGGTGAGATGGACCAGATAACGAGACATGAAGCTGAGGAGAAAGCAAAGGCAGCAGGTGCCAAAGTTCCTGGGCAGACAGATATGGACAGATATAGACAGATGTCACTGGAGATACTGGACAGATAGAATGATGTACTGTACATATATATATATGTATATAATGTATATACAATTATATAAGTATGTATTCACATCACTAGCTGCATTGCTGAACACAATGAGGTCCTCTCTGCTGTCTCCGGCAATGTGCAGTATCTGGTCGCAGCTGCCTTGGTGTGCTGAACCCACATGACACTCCAAACACAATTTGTTGAAACGTTCGCCCCAGGTTGGATCCAGATTGGATGATGGCCGGCCAGTTGAAGAGACTGGAAAGTGACCATTGAACTGTCAATTCCATTTCATCATGTGAGTGAACTTGGTGTTTCACCAAATTTCAACTTCAATGGATTCAAGCCTCACTCTCCTTTTTAGTTTCAGGTACAAGAGGATGATGGAGCTCAAGGAGAAAGGAAAGAAACATCCAGAAGTTATGACCGAGGCTCGGGCCCAGCAGGGCCATCGGCTGGGCGGTTGACCGCGCGTCCTTCGACTGGAGGCACAGTTCTTGGAACGACTTCCGGATGCTTCTGCTCCACGACAGCCAGTGGCGAGGTGGCCAAAACAGGGGATGAAATGATGAAACGGTTCAGCTGTGGTTTGCAGATGAAATGATTGAAGGCTATCAGTTCCCAGCCAACCAGCAGCTCCAGCTGGTTGGATCCTTAGTGACGAGCCTGTTGTGTCCGCATTCCGTTTTTGATGGCGATGTGAGGCCCGGGGCAGAACTGGGTCGACCGCTGGGCACCCCGAAGTTTTGAGGACCTGATTGGCAACGCCAGTGTCATCAGGCTGGATACCGCTGGATCAGGGTCTATCATGCTAGTTTTAGAGGGGATGAATATCCATTTACCAGCTATTTTTGGTGATTTTGGTGTGAACAGAAGTGTAACCGGGTTTTTCAACCCATAGCCCATAGCCAAATTCTTCACCTGTTGATCTTGAATTCCCTTGGCTTTTGATCTTGTTTCATGCGAGAATTGCTGGTTGGAGCACCGACTCTAGGCAGTTCCTTAGTGGAAAGTTGCCCCAACCAGGAAGCTGACGGAGTGGCTGCGAGATTGGGAAGACGCGCCTCGTTCAAAGCATGGACAGATGCAACATGGTATTTGTATCAGAAAAGCCATGATTATTCGGTAATGATTATGGGTAAAACAATAATAAACCCACATTATTGCAATTTTTTCCCAAACCTTATACGCACCATGTGCATAAGACCTGCTTTTTACCTTTGTGTGTTCGAGACATTCGCAGGTGGTCCTGAAAGGCAAACAAAAAAAGGCGCCGTTTAAGCCAGGTGGTGGAATGCCTGAGGCCAGGAAACAGGTTCCAACGAGATGTGAAGTGACGGAAATTCTTGAAGAGTTTTTCATGACATGGGTTTGTCTGAAAATGAGGTATACATGGTATACCCACCAAAATCAGTCGGGGAAATCATGACAACCATAAATTTTCAGAAGATTTTCAGCCAAACCGGAACGAATTTTCACACCCACATGTTGGAATTTTCCACATGCGTGTTTCTTGGCAGAACATCAATGCCCGTGCGGCGCTGATCAGCGGTCCACCTGGAATCGGAAAGACGACAACCTGTGGTGAGCTGAGACCTGTTTCGTTTTGCCATGTGTCAAAGTGGGGGATATTGATATTCACCCCGCTTCGCGTGGGGTGGCCGCCCACACCGCATGTTTATTTCGGTCCGTGAGAGGGGCTAAGGGTGGTTTTCCCCCGTGGGGGCTCCCCAAGCTAGGGAATTTTCACTTTCTCACCCCGCCCGTGGGGGCTCCCCAAGCTAGGGAATTTTCACTTTTCCCCCGCGTGGGGGCTCCCCAAGCTAGGGAATTTTCACTTTTCCCCCCCGTGGGGGCTCCCCAAGCTAGGGAATTTTCACTTTTCCCCCCCGTGGGGGCTCCCCAAGCTAGGGAATTTTCACTTTTCCCCCCGTGGGGGCTCCCCAAGCTAGGGAATTTTCACTTTTCCCCCCCGTGGGGGCTTCCCAAGCTAGGGAATTTTCACTTTTCCCCGCCGTGACAGCTTCCCAAGCTATGGAATTTTCACTTTTCCCTCCCTTGGAGGCTCTCCAAGCTGCGGAATTTCAAATAGCTAGACAACGACGCCTAGATAGTCCCCCAAATCCCGTGTTCTTTGAATGTGTTTCCATGTTTTTGCAATGGTTTCCTTCAAAGCACGGTACTTTACACTTTTGTCGCCATAAAACCGGTCGAAAACATCATGTTCGACAATGCTTCCAATTCCCTTATCTCCCCAACCGTTGAAAATACCGCTATTTACAGTGTTTTCTTCAATTTTTCCATGTTCCAATGCCGGTAGCCAACTCCAACATATATATAAGAAATCCTTCCAAAACATTGTTTTTGACAGTGTTTTTGTCCAATGTTTCCAGTCAAACAGACGGTAATTTACACGTTTTTTGCTATAACGTCAGTCCAAAACACTTGTTTTTGCAGTGTTTTCAATGCTCTGGCATCCAAAAACCCTGCAAAATCTTGCTATGTACAATGTTTTTTTCATTTTTGGCCGTTTTTCCATTGCCGGAAAGCTACCAAAATGACCCAAAATTCCATTTCAATACCCTCTTGCGCTCAGACACCCAAAAATCCTCGAAGAATGTCGAAAACACCACCGTATTCTGGTCTCGGTGCGAAACCGTTTTTGCCCCCCCCCCCAGCTAAAGCTGATATAGCGACTGCTATATTAACAAATGTCATTGAGCATTTAGTGTTGCTGTTTTGCCCCCCAATAAGCACGCCTTCACCGCCAAAGCGGTGTGGGCGGATTTCCAGGACCACATGGATACACTCAGAAAGCATATGACAGTAAGTGCTAAACATTGTTTTTCACTGGTAGGACATGCGATTTTGATCCATTCTGGAGTTCTTTTTCTTTGTTTTGTGTTTGGCACCCCTTTGTGTGACAAACGCATGTCAACATTTTCTGGGAATCGAACGATTCTCGCAGGTCGACTGGTTGCCAAGTTGCATGGTGGCTACGAGGCTTGACAATCACCAGTGAAAACGATGCACGTGGTGCACCGGGTGGGAATGGACTCAGAGTTAAGGCCCACAAAACCATAGAGTTTGGTCACCGTGAGCAGTAGATCATTCGAATGGTACATAGGTCCTGGAGTACAACGCATCAGATGCGCGCGGCCAGAAGATCATTCAGGACATCTTCAGTCCAGTGCAATTGGGCCTTTGGGATCCTTTGGGTTTGGGCCAACACCTGTAGGAAATGGCACTTGGCATAGCTGACAACAAAACGATCAGCTTTAAGCCGAATGATTTCAAGGTGTGGAAATGCCGAATCGACTTAGCAAGCGCTGTCTGAGCTGAGTTACTTGCTGCCGAGCCTCTGGTCGGTGTAGGAACCATCCGTGACCAAAAAGGCGGTCATCATCATGGATGAGGCAACATCTTTATACATACTTGATGCATACTGAATGATTGGCTGGCGCATTTGATGCAGACTCCAATAGAGTCCGAGTAGCAGGTTGTCCGAGAGCACACACACACACACACGACTACATAACAATGTACAACATTGTCTTAACATGATTCTGGTTCACAATTGATCCGAAGATAGAATCGCACATTTGTGTCATGGCTTTGCGAGGTCGACGGCATGGGTGCTGGGGATAGAGGTGGCATGGCTGCTCTCAACAGGACTAGCTGCCTCCAGCAGAAACATGTACAAAATCTGCAGCTGGCAGAGCTCAGTGCAGGATGATCAAGAAGACCCGAAACCCCATCATTTGCATTTGCAATGACGCTCACAGTCAGAAAGTGACCCGCCGCTGCAGTTGCTTTGCCCTCATGGAATCCATGAATGACCCCCTTTTTAAGGAGTTCCTTTTGTCCTGTCCATTCTTTGTTCCTCTGAATCTGATATGCGTAAAGACTGCATAGTGACATAGTGATACATAGTGCATTGTTTCATGCACAATCGAGATCTGATAAATCTGATAAGATAACGGAGTCTGCTCATGATAAGAGAATGTGAGGTGTTCTTGGATGTAGCTCAGGCTGAACTTCCCAGATAGGTGATTTTTCATGATTTTTCATGTCACGCCTGCATTTCTTCCTGATACAACGGGTGACCTAAATGAACTTGTTGGTGGGACTAAGGGAACCAAAATCAACGGGTGATGCGTCTCACCTTGGTGTGGTGTGATCAATTTCATCCACATGTGCTTCCCACAGATGGCTGGTATACTTCAACTTTTGGATTTTGGCTGTAGGACCAACATGACCAACATATATGAATGCTGTAGTATTGCAAATGATGCGCTGTATCTTCCGTGTGTGGTGTCTCTCACAAACTCAAAAAACGATGTGTGCACGCGCACACACACACAGAAAATTACGACGGGTCATGCCCATTCAGCATACCATTCATTTATATCTTTTGTTGTTTTTTGTTGTCTAATTCATCAAACTGTTGCTCCAGAGGTACGATCTTTGGCGCTGGGGCCTTGAGACTCCATCCCACCAAGGAAAACACCGCAGAACATTTAACCAAACAAGGGCTTTGCTGGAGATAAGACTTGATTCAGTGCAGAAAGCAGATGACTTCACTGAGGTTTAGTTGTTACGACCTGAAGTTCACCAGGTGCACTTGCTGTGGCTGCACTTGCCAGCTGGGGGAGTGGATGGGTCCAAGTTGGATCTTGAAGGCCTGCGCGAGGGACCATTGCGAAGCGCTGCGTGCCTCGGCATTCTCGGTTGAAAGGGCTGGTTGGTTGCCGTGTTCCAGTGCTCCAAGGCTCAAATTGCGGCCACCGAGGGCCTCCAGGCAGGTTCTGGAAGCTTTTGCCACCTCACCATCCCAAAGCTTGGGCAGGTAGAGGAAAATGCTCTTGAGGAGCTGGCTGAGTGCTGATCCGAGCTGCAGCCAGCTATCATGTTGAGAACGTGTCTGACTTTTGCTCCCTTTTGCCACACCCAGGTCCTGTGGCGGCGACATGCGAATGGTGCCGTCCTTGAGACAGGAAGAGTAATCCCAGCTCCTCAATATCAAATATATCTCCTGTAGCCTATAATCCCTATAGACAAATGGGGGTGGGTCAAAACCTATTCTTATCAATTCTAATGGGATGAACATCCATTTACCAGCTATTTTGGGGTTCACTAGGTGCCAGGGTTTTGACCAATAGCCAAATATAAATTCAATAAACATTGAATAGATCCAATGCATTCCCCGTCTGCTATTTTTGGAGCGACCCTGACCGAATTTTGGCAGCGACTTCCACAATGCACTGCGTGATTTTTTGGCTCCAGTGGCCCTCTCTTTATTCTACCCCAGCTGTACGGCATGGGAGGTGCGGCAGCTGCATTTTTCCCCGGCAATTCTGAGCGGTTCTCGGTGGCCTGCAACTTGATGGGCTGCGAGGTACAGTAAACCGCTTCTGGGCTCAAGACGGTTCCACAGAGGCCTACCGGGTCCTACCGGGTCCTACCGGCCTAGTGAAACAGTGTTTGGAATGTGTTTGGAATGTGCCCCACGTGGCTTGAAAACTGTTGGGAAGCACTTGAGCTTTGTCTTCCAGGTCGGCCATGGATCCCTCACTTTATTGCAGGGCTGGTCGCGTCAGGAATTCTGTGGATGCTGTTGGCTTGATCTTGGTTTGGCAGATTCCAATTGACATTTTCAGGCAGGATTTCTGTCCGGATTTATTGACCTTGCCTGCTTTACAAAGGACCTCCGGTGTTCATTTGACGCCTTCACCTCTATGGGTGGCCATGCGGTCAACAGCAGGAGCGGACGCTTCTTTTTTTTTTGCGTTTCGAATCATTGTGCACTAGAGACGCTTCTGATATCTTCTGATTTTTCGCATCTGCTCCTGTCACATCGTTTCTTGCACGGGGCCTGCTCCTGTGGTGAACCCGAGCGGCACGAGAATCGAGTCTGAAGGTCTCCCAGAATTCTTGGGGAAGAGAGAGAGTTTCCAAACGCGCCATGTGGACACTCAAATAACCACCATAACTTTTGCAGTTTGAGACCTCCTCTAAATATGAGATTATCAAATAACCCATGGATACCCATGGACTTTCATTGCTGTTTGTCTCAGTCACGCTGGGTGACTGTCACGAGCTGCCTGCAGTAACGTCGTGGCAAGCAAGCAGCTGCTTTTTTTTCTATCTCCGCTCCAAGAAAAAATCTGCAGGCAATTTGGCCAGCTTGTACGAATTAGCCACTTTAGCCAAAGCAAGGCTTCTTGACTGAAGTGGGGCTTGGTGACTTGAGGCAGATGGGCAGCAGATTGAACTGATCAGTGATACTACACTCAGATATGAATCTAAGGAGATCTTTGATTACTTGCTTGGGTACAGAGCTCAGTTGTTCTGAGTCACATCATGCGCTGATTTCCCGTGCTCCAAACTCAGGCCAGACATTGAACGTGGGCTGCTCGATTTTTGGTCAGTCATAGGCAGGCTGACTGCAGAGCTGAAGTTGCTAAGTCGGACCATGTCGGACCTGTCGATGCTAAGTCAGGTCCAATGGTTATCATGTCCGGACAGCACTACATCTCGCGTGTACCGACCTTGGTGCGTTCAGTTCAGGAACGTTGAACAAAGGCCACTGGCGGCAAGCGAATGTTCTCCCCTCAAATTCTCAGGTGACTTTTCTTTTCAGCATCTACGACATGGACGGTGATGGCAGTCTGAATTTGTCCGAAGTTGTGATTGCTGTGCGCGACCAAGTTCTTAGCTTTTAGACTTTCAAGCAAACTAGAGGATGTCAAGACATTTTCCGTGGCTTCAATCTGTCTTGGCAACATGAGTCATTGAATTTGAAAGCTGCAACCAGGTGAGAAGCATATTTAGAGGCGTCTTGGCTTGCTTTTGGTCTTCACGCAAGATTGCGAGGAAGAAACAGGAATAAATCCAAAGAGATTTTTCAGCACATATCCCAAATGCCCTGGTGCTTCATGCTACTTATAGTTATGTAATAAATCTGATTAAAAGAGCAGAGTTCCAGCCCCCTAATGATTGCAGGGAGTCATACGACCCAATGTATTGGAGATTTTCATAATCAATCACGGAAATCCATATTAACCACCAGTACAATGGAATGACAGCGGGTTTTGGACACTGTTCAAATGTTTCAATTCTAATGTGGGTTTATATGGATTTACAGTCGGTTGATGGAGGTTACAGTGACTGGTTCACTGCTGTCGAATGGATTTGAATGGTCATCATACGGATGATATTGTGATCAGTCGTTATTTTTGCAGAAGAAGACGGCAACCCCATCTTCACCTGCCAAAAAAAGCATAGGTTTCCCAAAGGCAAAGGGATCTGATGCATCTGATGTGTTCTTCTCGCAAGGTATGTCGCACTTCTTCCCGAAAGCCAGTCTTCCCGAGAGAAGTCGCCTGGAACAGCTGGCCCAGGAGTGCTGAAATTTGAGAAATTCTTCGTCAGAATCACCGATTTCATCAGATTTGACAAATATTTGATGATTTTGATGACTTTGAGATACTTTGAGGCATTTTTTGAGGCATTCTCGAACTGAAGAGTAACCTTACCTGGCTGTGTTGGGCCGAAGATTTGCTACAAAACACTTTGACAGCTGACTTTCTCAGCTGTTCCAGGAAATGTTTGAGCGTTTTGACAAAAACAGCTCGGCACCGAGTGTTGCACCTAAATGATGGTAGAGCAGATATCGAAGCGGTTGGACACCATACGATATGATGTCATAAGACAATAGAAAGGAACCCTCAGCCAGGTTCAGGCAATGTGACCATAGAGGAGATGGTGACCTATGCATATCGTAGTGAAGTCGCTTGGATGCACAACCGTCTTCCATCCCCAAAGTGAAGGCAAAAGTTGCAGGAGACCCGCCTGAAGAGTCTAAGTTTGATGGTGAAAATCACGGGTGTTCAATGTCATTGTCCTTAAATCGGTCCACCGATCCCATTAATCTCGATATGAGTGGCATGTAACTTGGAACCGCCTGCCAGGGACTGCTACGTCTGTGTGAGCCTTTCCCGGCACATGAAAAACATATCTATGAGGAGAGGGACTGGTGGAGACAATGGCAATTCAGCTTTCAAGAGATCCAAGCGAGAGAGAGAGAGATATAGATTGATAGATAGATAGATCGATAGATAGAGAATGATAGAGAGACAGACAGACAGACAGACAGAGATAGATAGATAGGTAGATAGATAGATCGATTGATCAATCGATCGATCGATAGATAGATAGAGAAAGAGAGTTGCCTGAACTTTGGTACTTTTGTAGGAGCCTATCCGCTTTCATCATACTTCCAAGCCTTCAAAGGCGGATTGTCACAGTTAGACGGATGTGGATTCAGATTTGATGAAGATATGAAGCGAGAAGAGGTGAGATTTGAATTCTGGCAAGGTGCCTGCAAAAGCCGCTGGTGCCAAGCCCAGTCGACACTGAATCTTCATACCAAGCAAGATGCAATGCTCAAAAGTTCCATCTCAGGTCCTAAGGATTCCTTAGGTGATGAAGCTAGGATTCCACAGTTTTCTTCGAACACCCAAGGAGGCTCCAAACCATCCCGACCACGGATGGACCCTCCAAGTCATGGGCAAACCTTCCATGCTGATTCGAGCAGGTGCAGCCAATCGGTGCTGACCTTTTACCATGGCGCTTCATTTGGCAATGTTTCTGCAGGAACACCTATGATAAGCCCTGGCAACGCGCTCACCACGATGGCTTGACCAAGGCTGCCATGAAATTCTAAGACGTTGATGTTGCTGGATATTGCTATGCTGCCCCCAGAATTGCTATGGCATCTTCGCATCCAGCGCAAAGGCTCATGCCTGGGTTGCGTGGATTTCTTTTCGGACCCTCGCTACGAAGGCCCGACCAGCTTTTCAAAAAAGCGTCCCAGAGGTGTCATGAGGCAACTTTCCATCAAATGGGAAAAGATGATTAGACAATGATTATTATATTAAGATTTATGATGCTGATAATTAGATAATTATAATATATTGTAATTATATAATCAATATGTCTCTGCGTTTGCCAGGCCAATCCTCATCTTATTGATGGAAGAGACTTAGCGCAGCTTATCTGTTTGGAGCTCAGATTTCCAAATAAGCCAGCTCCGGAAAGTCTCAACCCGAGTCTTGCTTCTATTCTGAAATGAACGTCTCCATTTTTCTGAGAGCTTTCTTTGAACGAATGCTTTCCTCCTTGAAAGATCACGGGTATTTCCCTCGAGGCAGAGGGCGTCCGCGGGTATTTCCCTTGATCTACGCTGCAGTGGAAGAGAGTTGGGTCTCCAAGATGGGTGCCGCCGCATGGCCGTAGCCTGTAACGACGCGTGATGCTGAGCGCGGCTTCTCTCCAAGGCAAAGGTGCTGCAGACCGCGTTGAGCAGACGGACGAACTCTATGCGTCCCGCATTGTGATGAGTGCCCCACGGCTGAAGCCGAAATATGACAATGAAGCTGCTAGTATGAGGGAAAATCAGTTGAGACAAGTTGAGACAAGTTGAGACAAGTTGAGACAGATGAACTCCCTTAGTCGACTTGTCTACGATTTCATACGCTTTTTAACTTGACCCGAATGCCTCACAGGGCTTTGCAAGGATGTGGAAAACCCAAAAGTCTGTAGGCGAGCTACGTATGACTACTCTTTGCTGATGTGGCAGCCCAACACCACATGTTTTGCAACAGACAAACCCCGAGGTTAGTCAGGCACTGCTCGCGAAGGATATTCTGGAACGACTCCAGCAGAACCTCGCATGTGAACGCGGGAAATGCATTCAGTATGCGAAAGGAATCATGATCTCCGGAGAGTTCTGGAAAGTCAACTATCAACTGAAGTTGGGTACATTCGTGTTCAAACATCAAGATACATCAACATTTTCAGGCCATGGCAGTGCTTAGCGAGCCTGAGGCTGATGGAAACACCTGAAGTGAAAGGTGCTTCACCTCCAGGTGTGCTTTGGCTTTTTTTCCATCCTTTCTCCAACATGAGTGTCGCATGGCTTTGTCCAAAGACGGGGTACCTCTAAAACCATTGCTTCGTAGTGGTTTATGAATGTTTATGATCATTTTCATTTTTTCCTATGTATTTTGCCCGAAATTGGGGGGGAAATTCTGTAAATTCCCCAAGTTCAAGACTCTGCAGTGCATGGCCAGGTCATTTTCAGCTCTCCAAGTTTCTCGCGTTGTTGTGGCCCAGAGTCGGAGCCTCGAATCCTCGGGCACTGGGAATTGGCAGTTGGTGTCACTTCAAGGCAAGCGAAACAGCCATCCAAAGCTGTTTGCGATGGTGCGGAGTATTCCACGCTCATCAGGCCGTGATTTGAAACACGGAGATACAGAGGTACCAGAGGTACAGTCTTGGAACACATAGCATTTTCGGTGTTTCTCGAAGTCGAATTGTTGTTAACCACGATTGCACCAACATGGCTAGGTTCTTGTGCAGTTGCTGAAGGAAAAAAGAGCTTCGTTGCGCCAGAGCAGGCACTTCTGAAAGTGGCTGCCTTTCGAGTGGTTGAGAATCCTGTGTGACCACTTGCCACCACTTGCCACCACTTGCCACCACTTGCCACCACTTGCCACCACTTGCCACCACTTGCCACCACTTGCCACCACTTGCCACCACTTGCCAACTTGCCAGGCTGTACAGAGGAAGCTTTGCAGTGGAAGCAGAATCCCAGAGTGGAAGACGGCCTGTTGCTCTGTTGGACCACTTGGATCATGCGGATTTGAAGGTGCCGCAGTGCCGCTGTGAAAGTCTTCAACTTGGTGCTGGTTGAACCTTGATTTCTCTGCAGATCCTTTTCGACGCTCTCGACATGGACGGCAATGGAAAGCTATCAGCCAGAGAGCTATGCCTTCAAGGCTTGGCTATCTGCTGATCTGCGCTGTTGGCAATTTTCAATTCAAACTTCCGCAGATGGTTCGCATCTCAGGTGGGCTTTCAGCCAAAGAAGCGCAGCGACTTCTACGTATTTGGGATCAGGCGACGATGTTTTTTTTTTGCAGCTTTTGCTTACTTGGTTCAACTTGGTTCAACTTGGTTCAACTTGGTTCTCGGCCGTTCTCAGCCTTTTCCTGCTTGAATTTCAGGATACGGATGGCGAGCTCACACCGATGGAGCTGGGAGGGGTGGTGCAACTTGGCTGCAGCGGTTTAGCGGTTTTCCAGTGAACAGGTACCAACAGTTACTGACAGTCCAATGAGGCAGGCAATGGACTCCGCCTTGAAGCAACAAGTTAAGGCTGGTGGCTGAAGTATCCAAAACCCGGAAAATTCTGGTGGTTTCTAACATACACATTATATAATAAATTATATCACATTATCACATATTATCACATATTTTTCCGATGGACTGTCAGATTTTTTTGAGGTCCAGGTGGCTCGAACAGCAGACCAAACAGTTTGCTCTTGTCTTGAAGTCATGCCAGGGCATGTTTGCGTCACCGCGACATCCTGCCAGATCCTTGAAGGTTCTTTGTGGAACAGGAAGGAGCGATAGATGTGGTCAAATTCAAAGGCCAATTTTAGCCGCAGATTCCGTTCATCTTTAGTATTCACCATCCAAATCATCCAAATTTAGGGGGTATCAAATTTCTTGTTAGATCCCAATGTTAAAATGTTCCCTTCCGAGGCCAGTGCGGCACCGCCACCCAGCGGCCGAAGGCGACGAAGTACTTCGTTGCCTCCTGCGGTGCCGTCTCGAGGACCTCCCATGACTGGGGATGGTTTGTAGCACCTATAGAAATGGGGCATTCCTAAAATGGAGGTACCCAAAATGGATCAAAATGGATCAAAATGGATAGTTTATGACATTGGCGACATTGGGTGGATCCCACATATACATGCATATACTGAGATTTTTGATTTTCGGTGAATTTTCCACCAGAACTGCAAGCAATTTGCCCACTGCTCCACATTCTCAGGAGCTGCAGCACCTCCTGCGCTCTTGACTCGTCGGCCACGAGGGAAGAGGTAATGCGAGACTGGGCTGCGCAGGCGGTGACCAACTCATTGCAGCTATGCACAGCTTGTGAGCCTTAGAACATTTGGGTATGGATCAATACCTATTAATACCATTTTTAGTGGGATGAACATCCATTTACCAGCTATTGTGATGTTCACCAGGGGTACAGGGTTTTGACACACTGCCATTTGCCATTGCCACCAAGGAAGCCATGTGCTGCAAACGATTCGAAGCTTTGAATCCGCGTGGAACGGAGGGACTGGGCTCCGTGCCCGACGCTCAACGGCTTAGCCGAATTCGAGGAACCGCTGCCGCCCAAGGCGGGAAGGACTTGGAGCAGCAAATTCGTCAAAAATCAAGAGCCACCAGGCAATTAACGATCCATTTGAAGGCATATATATATATATGCATATATCATATAGCACAATTTTGATCCGTTTTGCCCAATAGCATTTGATTTGCCAAGAAATGATTCAGAGCAGTTTAGATGTTCCATGGATTTGGAGATGCAACCTTTGCTGCTTGCGTTGTGAATTCGTTTTTGTGGAAGACCTGCAATCTCGCAGCTGTGTCCCAAACCGGCTGTGAGTTTCTCATAAGAGTTGCCTGTGGGAATGGCGATCTCCCAATCGGAAGAACACCAGTAGTATCCCATCTAATTCAGTGGCTCAGGCGAAGGCTGGAGTTACACGTGAGAATAAAATGTTTGTGTCTGAACCTGGCAAACCTTGGAACCTCAGTGTTGGAAAAGCATCTTTTGGAGTGATGGTTTTTGGAAAAGCACTTTCTGTGCTTGCTGGAGGCCCGTGAGGTTTGCAGATTCGAAGAGTTTTCTCTTTTTTTTCGGACTGCTAAAGGCACTCGCCGAACTACATAGCTCTTCGGGGGAAAAAGAAGACAAGTTCAAATGGAGCCTGTCGTTAGATGCTGTTTGCTTTCACGAATCTTTCAATCAAAATGCACACACCATCGCCACTTGTTCTTAAGAGACTGCACTGAGTCAGCAGCATGGAGTCGCTGCAGTCGCGTGACTGTTGCAAGGTGCTGAACCAATTGCAGATGCTTACAAAGTCCGAGACCTGCATGACGCAGGGCGTAAACTACATGGACCGACACTGCAAAAATGTCAGCAGCTGCTGTTCTTCATTGGGGCGTTCCAATTTGCATCTGGGGAAAGTGTGCAGGACATGAAAGAAAAACTGCGACAGATGAACAAAGATCAGGCCTTGCCTTCCAATGGTATTGCTGCTGTAGAACCAGCTCAAGCCCTTTTGAGTCTTTCAGTGGGTGTTGAAGTTCTGCAGGAAATCATGTTGAGCACCTTTGACGCGTGCCACTTGTTTGCACTAAGTCAACTTGCTTGCCACTTAAATTGCAGGCAAATTTTGTCAGATCTCAATTGATCTCAACCATTCTTCCCTGCTCACGCCTTCTGCTTAATCTTTTTCCGAGGCAAGAAGCTACTCAATACTTCCCAGAGTCAAGGGCTTTCTTATCGAGATCGCCTTGAAATGGTGCGACCAGCATTAAAAATTGAGACACATTTTCTCTGGCGATTTTTGCACGATTTTTGCCCGGCCAGTTTTTCGTGGACCACTCCATCATGGGTCTAATGGTCCACGAGAACTATTTGAATGCAGTATCCAAGAAGTCAAGGGCTAAGCATTCCAGGAACTGGTTGTGGTGACATATGCTACCGGTGTACCAAGGCCTGTGGATCTCCCTCTCCTCAACAGGTCTTAGCCTCAATTTGTCCTCCAGGATCCGGGTGAAATTGTGAGAATAGGTTGCAGTTTTATGGGGAGCGGAGTAAATGTCGTTTACAGCACAGCTTGCACAATCGTTTGAAACTTGATCCGATATTCTTTTTTGGATCTGTCAACTAAGTGAATCTTATGTGACTAGGGTGCCTCTCGGTAGCTAGTGTAACAGGGCGAGGCTCAAAACACACATTCATTTGTGCCGCAAATCTTAGGTGTGCAAACTCGGCAGATTTGATGGCGGTTGGTGACATGATTGGTGGTCGAATACGAGACAATCAGGACTTGCTGCAGCTCAGCTGAGCTCCAATCATCGGCTGCAACGACAAAACCTGGAAGGAGTGGAGCCTGCTTCCTGACCTGGGTCTCTTTTCGGCAGTTTATCCCGCCTACCTCACCAATGGGTGTGGTGCTTAGCTCGTCACGACGAGCTGGACAGCTATGGCTGTTACCGTTGCGTTGAGGTTTGTGGGGTTTCCCAGCTTTCCAGCGTTCCTTGGCAAATACTCCACGCAAACCAGGAGATCATCTGTTGCGTGTGAAGTGCTGTGCCATGACATCTGAAGCCATGGGTTTCCAAGAAACCTCTCCTGATTTACGAAAAGAAACCTCTGCTGATTTACGCTAGCAGGCTAGCTTTTGCGTGTTTTTCTCATTGAGACAGTACATTCCAGCTTGCGAATGTGATCCCACTGAACTTGATCTGTGGACGGCGCAGAACCTGTGGTTCAAGGGTTCACCTGGCTCCAGGGCCAACCCGTTCTGATTGAAGTGCCAGGCGCCATCGCCGCGGCGCCATTGCGGCGCCATGGCCAAGCGCCTGGCTGTGATGGGACTGGGCATGGGCACAGCTGCAGAGATCTTCACCAACAACCCCGTGTGTGTCCAGAATAACTGTGCCTCAGCAAATCTTTGGCAATTTTGATGTAGTGACGTAGAGCATTTCTATGGGTTTCAGGTGGATTTGTGGCCTCTGTTTCAGATTTTTCAGGATCCCTTGACAACTTGGATCGCTTCAGGTATCAATCCAGTCTTTCCCGGCTTAGAGGACCTACATCGGCTAGCGAACTCCACGAAATGGTACTGCACCAGTATGGAGGATACAGCACTGTCCATCGAGTTCTGCAAGGGTGCTGTGAATTATGAGACATGGCTGTTGTGGGTCAAGTCATTGGGAACCCCAAAAAATAATCAAAATATGGATAATGCATAGTTGTGAATACTGAATCATGACGAAAATCTGTGGTTACTAAGGCCTTAACCCACATTTTCTCATTTGAATGGATAAAGACTAAACAAACCAGAATGCATACATAATGGGACAGAAGCAGGGATATATAAATCAACGATATGGGAATGTATATGGATCTGTCCGAAAGTGGGAGATATACATCCCCAATTTTCCATTTTAGGGAGAACACTATGATGCACTACTGGATTTAGGAGTATCCCAGTTTCAGATCGGCCCATGTTTCTTAACTTCAGATGCATCTTTGGGATACTTCGGGATGACAATCCCCAATGAGTAAAGATTTTGCAAGGGTGTCTCAAGTGCCAACCAGGATATAGCTGTACCTGAGCCTCAAAACCAAGATGAGAAAAGCGTTCAAGCGCTTGTGCGAAAGCAAGACCGTGCTGCCACGACAGCATATTTCACACACTTGAATGGCCTTGGTAAGGATGCATGGGAATACCCAAATCCACATGACTCAGATGATGAGTGCATCAAGACCATCTGGAAGATGGTGTGCTACACATACTTCCCAAGAGCAGAGGCAGGGTGTGGTCGAGGCCGTTTGATGGAGTACATCCGACCATGCAAGAGCAGCTGCCAGAACTACATCAAGGCGTGCTCTGTGGAGTGCTGTGATGAGTCCGTGCAATGTGTTTTCGACCACCAAAAGCATATGTCCAAGACGACCGTCTTGGCAACTTCAGGATACGAGCCCCATGACGGACCATCCACCTTTTGCACTGGAAGCGCATACCGTTCCAGTTCCCCTAGTTTGCTGGTCCTGATCACCTCCTTCCTGGCCTTTGGAGGCGACTTCTTTGGCTTTGGATTTGCGACTCGCCGGTTGCGCCATTTCTTTCTGGCCGCCGCTTTCGTGGGCCTCTCACTGATGCTGCAAGGCTGTGATGGAGCCATGGTCCATTCACTGGGGAACTGGAGGCAGGCGGATGACTATCTGGTGCGGTTCCAGTTCGTCCCTCCGGGTGCCTCTTCCAAAGAGGCTGTGTTGAACTCCTGTTCGCTGCCAGGCTTGTCGCCAACCCTTCAGTGTAGTGGACATGGTGGTTGCCATGCATGGGAGAAGACATCTGATGTGAATCCAACCCCATTCTGCAAATGTGATGCGGACTGGGCTGATCCGGAATGTCGAACGCGTCGAAAGTCCCAAGTGGTGGCCTACTTTCTGGCGACCTTCCTGGGAGTTGTGGGTGCAGACCGTTTCTACCTAGGCCTCGTGTTGTCTGGTTGGTTAAAGCTGGCTTTGCTGGGCAGCTTGACGGTCTTTTGGATCACAGAGGTTCTCATCACCGGATCTTCCCCGGTGAATCTCAGCAAAGACCTTCGAAGCTGGAGCGGCTTAGTGAAAGTCCTGACCTTCTTCGCGCTTGGCAGCTGCTTGGAAGGGTGAGTGGTGGAGAACAGTGGAGGGGAAGGCGCAGTTTTCCGGTTTGGATGAGTGTATCCTAACCTAGAAAAGGCGTTGCCCAGAATGAAACAGGGAGAATTCTGTTGCCAAGGAGCCTCTCAGCTGAGGCTGGTATTTCATTGACATCATTCGAACGGGCTCTGGTGCTGTGGAGACTGCTGGTTTCCGAACAGCACCTGACCTTCCAAGAGAGGCAGGAGTTCCAACGGTGCGTTTCATTGATGGCAATCTTCGTGTTGTGAAAAAATCGATCGATGGTGTAATCTTGGAAGATTTGCAGGTATTTGTCGCCTGCACGGCGGAGTCCTCAGTGGTGCCAATGGTTTCACTGCATCGTTGTTCACTGCAGGGAGAGTAAACAGCAGTTCTGCTGCAAGGTTTTCCTTGCTATGATTGCGGGATTCCTGTTTGCGGCATGGAGTGTCTCCAATGATGCATCTTGCTCGCAAAAACATGAGAATGCAACAGTGCAAGGGGGTACTTATCTGATTTTTCTCAGATGTCCTTTTTGAGGAATCCCTAGTCATGGGATTTTCTACCGCATTCATCCGCTGTCATCCGTATTCAACCCTAGCTGCTGCTATTGCTGTAGCATGGCAGCCTGATTCTGAGGCAGCGGCCAAACGCCGAAGCATTGCTTTGATGCAAAGTGCGTATTTGTGACCTGGCGGATCTGACACCTAAAAGGGCGACTCATCCATTGGATGTCATCGAGTCTATAAAGTTGGGTGTCAGAAAATGGATGAACATCTTCCCAAAATCGATCTTGGAATGGAAAATGATGGTTAACCAGTGGGGTTAGGGATACCCTTTTTTCTCAGACAAAGCTATTTTACTTCATTTGCTTCTCGTAATGTTTGCTTTACTTTGTCCCATCCCTTGACGATGATTGTTGACTTGAAGCCTTTGGGAGGATGCATTTCGCATTGTACTTACGTGGGCTCTTTTCAACGGAAATGTGAAGCTGAGGCAAGAAAAGGCAGCCTTGGATGCGACTGTGATGACGCAAGGCAGGCTTCGGAATCAGATGCCTTACAACTTTTGCATGGCTCAAAATGATCTACCCACCAGAATTGATTGGTACATATTGGTACCCAAATTTGAGTCGATAGTCTGGGTACGACAGGTTCTCAGTCGCAAGCTGTGTACGGGTCCTTCTGAGCCGAACTTCGATCCGTGGCAAAAAGCGTGTGGCGTGTTGCGATCTGCCCACAGCCCGGATGGGTCAAAATCATTGGACCCAAGATGAAAAAGATGACAAGTCATTTGTTCAATGGCCATTCCAGGATCCTAAATTGGAGGTACCTACCATATATAAGGCCTATATAAGGCCTATGTAAGGGAATATCCCCACAAAATATGACCTTATATGGTACAGTACCTCCATGTTAGGATCCTGAAATTCCCATTGATTTGTGGGTCAAGCCCCAATTTTTACATGTCGCGTATGACAAAAAAGCTACCTGGAGGATCCTGGAGCTATGACAAAAGACTCAGCTTTGATGACATTTGTGCAGGATGCGGCGGCTTGCAACAGAACTGCAGACACATTTGAGATTGTCTTCGACAGCAAGGCTCGGGGCGCGGCTGGATCAAGCTTGGAAATTTCACTGATTCTTTCACCTTGCGGGATTTTGTGTTTGTTTGGTTGGTATTTTCTGACATTGTAACGATGTTTCCAAGTTCCAGCAATGCCTCTGCTCAGTCGCTCATCCCTGACGACTTCCCCGTATGCAGATCTACTGTATGAGGACGGCTGAAGAACTCCGAAGAAGGTCATTTGTAATGTGGGAAACCCAATAATGAACCTACCATTTGGGGATGGTTTGTAGGACCCTTGTATGATTTTGTGGATGGTTTGTTGTTGGGTTTACCATTTTTTCAACCATCCCATGGGCACCTCATGACATCCAGCTGTGCAGAAGCTCATCCGGCCGCTGCTTTTCCCGAAGCATGATGCACCAGCAGAGGCTGGCTGCAGATGTTCTGATGCCGAAAGGGTGCCTGGGGGATTTTCCTTTGCAGGCCGTGAAGCACACGGTCAAGCTGTTGGATGCCTATGGCTTGCGAAAGGAACACCTTATTGAACACCTTACAGAGCTGAGGCAATGGGTTTGTCCCATAGCTGCCATGACTTGTGTTTCATCTTGAGATCAGTTGTGAATCTGATTCAATCGCCCATTGCTTCTTGAAACGCTTGTCTAACTTCACTGCTCCTCAGCCTGACTTTATCAAGCGTCACCAAAATTCTCATGAAACAGCGAAATGTGGCTCATCGAGCAAACACACCAAGCTTCAACATCTTTTGTTAGGCAAGTTGAGATCCAGCCAACATCCCAGAATGCAAAAGGGTTGAGCTATAGCATTAAGCCAACCCCAGAGCCCCTGGGCCTCAGGGCAAATCACGGTTTGCATTGTCAGCTTGTTGCGGGAAAAAAGCGTAAACAGCGTAAACACTAAAGTTCCACAGACATTGTCCCAGCTTACTTCTGCCCCAATGACCGTGGGTTGCCATTCAGCATGTGACTCAGATTGTTGGAGGATAGCAGGCTACAGAGTGATGCTTTGCTGGAAGCCAAAGGTGCCATAACCGTACCATTTTCGGCATGAAGATCAAGGTGCAACCTGCTGATGTCCAGTTATGATCTTGGCAGATTTACGGGATGCCATGCCTTTTAAAATGACATGCAGGTTCTACAGCGCAGTGAACAGGACGGATGTACCCTGTGGTCATGCAATCCAGCGAGAATTTCCCATGGAAATATATACTTTCATAGATGAATTTCCTATAAAACGAAGGGATTTTCCCATTACAGTATGTTGGGCTACAAATGACACTTTAACTCTTCGGTTGCTGAATCAAATCCGCTTGATTTATTGGTTCAATCCTGATCTTGCACGGGTGCAGGACTACCTGGGAGCCACTTCAGGTGACATCACAAGACAATTCCGAAATGCAGATCCTGACTTGCATCCCTTTGAACGTGCCCGAGAGTATCAGCGTGCCCTCAAGGTGGCTTGGTTAGGGACAAAACTCAGACATGCGAGTTGATCATTGGGTTGGTTTAAGCGAGAATTGAAAGGAAGCCAAGGTTTGGACCTTTGAAACACAGGTTTTTTGTAATTCTTTTCCGTCGAAGCTTTCCTTGAACGACTGGGAATTGACTGGCAACTTTTCCTCTCGAAGCTCAGCTTCATAAATGTGCTTGTGGGTCATCCGATCAGAACCCTGCTGATCATAAAGAGCCTTCCAGCCCGGGCCAGCTTGAGCTAGGCCGTGAAGATGGAGAAAATCTTTGCAAAGCCTCTGGTCAAGGTACGTGATTTTTGTTGATGACGAGAATAGCTTCAATTGAATTTCCAGTTCAGGCACTGGAGGGTCACACTGACTCCATCAAGTGTATGGCCATTGCGAGAACAACAGCTGCACCTTTGTTGTCCACAGCTCAGACGAAATCCGTTTAGAGCCCTCAGTTTCTTCAGCTCTACGCCACGAGGTCAGGAAGTTGCAACGGTGAGTTGCGACTATGGAACATGTCAGATGCCAAATTAATGTGGTGAATGCCATGTGAATGCCATGGAACATCTCAACTGGCTGATATCTTTGATGATTTGTGTTTGAAGCGATGTGACCCCAGGCAGCATCTTTGCTATGGAAGTGGAGTGGAGAAAGCCCATGAGGCCAAGCTTGACGCTGAGAAGTTACGCATTCCGGAGGAAGGTTTCCTTAATGGCAGTATGCCGAGGGCCTATCCCGCAGGACACCAATAGGGATTCTGATTCGCGCAGGGCTTTGTACGTGGAGTGACCGTCAGCCCTGATGGCACAAGAGCTTTCTCCTGTGGCGACGACAAGGCTCTCCGTTGATGCACTGTATGTGATTGTATGGCTCGGAAAAAAAATGCACCCTCCAAATTGACTGGTTTTTAGACGGATCAATTCTTGACCAATTCTGTGGGTCCATCGGTTCTCGAGTTTGGAGCTACATCCTCACTGTGTGGACACTTGCAGGCTGCCAAAATGTGGCGCATTCAACCAAAAGCTTGTCAGATCTCTGAAGAGCCACAGGCAGGGTACTGGAGGGAGACCAAACACATCACTGCAAATCAATATGAAATGATATTGTTAGGATATGTTCGGATGCTCAAGGATATAATGTGACTAGTCTGCCCAAAACTTGATCAGGCGTCCTATCATATGGCCTACATTCCTGGAGTTGGCGCCTTGGATTTTGCCCATGCTGACTCCCTTTGCTCTGGAATCACTACAGGCAATTGATCACCATTGGCACAAGCCGATGTTTGTGACAGTTGGTGACACCGCAACTTGGTGGCAGTGGGAGCCATTGGGAGCCATGATTCTTCAGCTCTCAGCAGATCTACGCCATCTACGCGGATCTCAGGTGGATGTGTGGGATTACAACCGATCAGCACCTCTAAGCTCCTTTGAATGGGGCTGTGAGCGCGTGATCACTGTTCCGGGCTGAGGCTCTGAGGGGGAACATGGCCGTTTTCCATCACTTTAGACTTGAGATGACTTGAGCACTGCTGACAGCACTGGCTAAGTCCCGCTTCAATCCTGCAGAGACAGCACTGCTGGCATCCACTGCAGTTGACAGATCAGTTGGTCTATATGTTTCAGCCTCAGCTATGAGTGGTAGCCCTCTGGCGCATCATTGGAGTGGTAGCCCTGCTTTTTGAGGATTTGCGCGGAAATGCTCCTATCCGAAAGGCTGGTACGTCAAATTGCCTGTCAGTCATGGATGGTACTGGTTGCGCTCGTAGCGATTCCGATATTGTAGATCCTATATATATTGATTGAATCTAAGAAGGCCTGTGGGAGCCCTCACAGGCACACCCCTGTAAACCACCACAAATGAAAAAAATCAAAAAACAAAAAAAACAAAAAACAATAAAACAATATAAAACAATACACAACAATAAATCTAAAACAATATCAATAAAATACATTTAATAATATAATGTTTTTTTTTTTTTTAAATAAAATATCTTGGATTTTTCCAAGATATTTTTGTTCATACAAGAAATGCATTGGTGAACATACATATGTTTGCTGGATCTTTGGGTCATCTGTAGCTAGTTGGGAGTACCAGATCAAAAATGGCCATAGCTTGGAAGTACAGAATCATGGCACAAGTGCGGACATATTCAGGACACATACAAGGAGAAAGATGTATCCACCAGGGCAGGGCAAAACAAAACTAATACCAACTTGATTGCGCACAGCGCCAGTTGATGCTGACATGACCAGTGCTTGGTTGTGCCCAAGAGTTGCCGGCAGCTGTTTGGCTTAATCTTTTGTGTTGTCAGCATGGGCAATGGCGGAGTCGAGTCTGGATGATGTTTTAAATATCATCGAAGATACACATCCCAACGAAGAGACATGTTCAGAGCCGAGGCCAAGTAATAGAGCTACTGTGCGGCAGAGGTTTGGGGCAGGTCTTCGACCGGGTTTGCTAAGACACGCCAAACAGAAGCGAACCAGAAAGTAAAGGTTGAAGAAAAAACAAAGCTTGGTGGACCAACAGGCAAATGAATACAATGCCAGTGGCCGTGCTAGAGGGGCCGACCATGCGTTTCCAGCTTCAGCAAATGACTTTGAGCGAAAAACAGAGAAAGGCAAAGGTAAATGGAACCGGTGGACCGCGCCCGCTGTTTTGCGTGCTGGATTCAGCTCAGAGTCAGCAACTTCCAGACAAATCGCCAGCAGCATTGAAGGAGGTGGGCCAAAGCATGCTGGAAGGTGTCGGTTTGTCACTGCCTCAGCCATCTTGGAAGGGCAAAATCATGGGATGGCTTTAGTTCAGCAAACTGGGTCCCAGGGTAGCCTTGATTTTTGGATTCGGAGCCTCATGTTTGATGAGTCTACGTTTTCATTGAGCCTTCAGCACGAAGCGGCAACTGCCACCTCGGTCTTGTGTTTACATGGGCATTGGACCTATGGCTTTACTCCTTGCTATTATAATTGTTTGTTTTTTCACATCAAACGTCCAGGAGCACGGGGATGCAGAGGAGGTCTCGGACCCTGTGCCCTTGACAGAAGCGAAGAACTTGTTCACCGCTTGCCCACCTGGAGGTTGCACTGGACATCTTTCTCGTGAACAGCTGGCCTTCCACAGCAAGTTGCATGCAGACTTGTGCGTTCTGGTGAAAAAACATGATCCTCCTCGCAATAGGCCTGCGGCCGACCCTTTGGTCATCATGTGGGAATCTGCAAGTCTGGCAAAGACTGTGTCCGTGCTGCTTGCCTTCCGGACCATGGACTCTCCAATGGACATGTTGTTCCTGCGCTTGGGCCCCAATGTTGGTTTGATAGAGGAGCCTCCTTTCAGTTTGCGTGTGCAATATTATGCAGATCGCTTGGATGCAGCGCCTCTGCACGACAATGATTTGGCCATTTGTGCTCAGCTTGCCCTCGAGGCGGGTGATTGGGTCATCCACCGCTTGGAGCTTGCAGGCATTGATGATGATCCGTCAGAGTTTCGCATTGCCCGCAAAATTTCTTATGACGCAGAGCACTTGCAAGAGGAAGCCCGCCAACAGAAGGAAAACGACTTGGCCATGCGGGCTTTCCGCTTGATGGAACGACTCAAAAGTGGTCAAAAAAGACAAAGGCGGCCCCGGGGCCCTCAGCCCAGCACAAAGAAAGCGCGACAAACTGCCATGCCTTGCGATGAGCAAGGAGAACTTTCGCCTTCCCGTTTGTCTGAGGAGAGCTGGTCTGAAGACAGTGAATGGGCTGGCAGTGCCGGTGAAGAGGACCAGGACCCATGGATGCCCCTTGATTTGAATCTGGGCGCAGAGAAACTTGACATTTGCGGCTCAGACTCTGCCGCTGACGTTTCGGCCGTTGGTCGAGGCTTGCCAAGTTCCGAGCTTGGTTTCAAGGGAAGCTCCACGGAGTCGTCTGCAGGCATTGCTGTTGACGCGGCCTCTGGCCGGGCTGTCCAGTCCGCGAAGTCAAAGAGAGTGGTACAAAAGCGAGGGGTTCGTTGGGGACCCTTCTTGCTGTCGCCCATTGTGCCGCAAGGAGGACAAACCGGGTGGGGAGCCATTTGCGGCTTGCACCACAACAGAGGAGATGGAAGTGGCTCGAGGTGCAAGAAAGCTTTGAGCATGGGCCGGTTGAGCCACAGCGCTTGCATATTACGATTGAAACGGTGGCTTCTAGCCGGGCTCAATGATGCAGAGCTTTCTGTCCAGAACGCTCGGTCAGATCATGTGGCCATGGGATGGGAGGACCTGGCTTACAAGCTTTTGCCGAAGGCCCCTCAGAAGAAGAGATGGACGAGAAAATTCGACAATATACTTCCTCAAGTCTTTGAGTCCTTTGAAGTGACTTTCCGCTTTACAGTTTCTGACGTTGTTTAAGTTTTGCTTGTGGTTGTGACCTGGCTTTCGAAATATATTCGCGATAGATCTTTGGTAGCGAGCGGTGGCAGTATGTTCAAGTACGATGGACCATTGAGATCTACATTCATATCACCCAGGTTTCTTTCCAATCCTTGACCTCTTCGACAGTCAGACACAGCGTCTTCTTCTTATCCTTTTGCAGCAATCAAACAAGTAGTGGTGATCATGTTGGTTTGGATTTTGGTTTGCGGGGAGGTTTTGCCAAAGGCAACCCAAAGTAGTATCATTACTGTATCAGATATTTTGATATTTTATTGTTTTTCTAAAAACAACTTAAATTTTCAAAACGATTGCAAAGAATTTTTCATTTTTGAAAATCATACACTTATCTTCCGTTTTCATTCACTTATCTCCTGTTTTCATACACTTAACTTGTGGTTAAGTGCGAGATTCCGGTTTTTCAAAAAAGTTTGAAAATTCAAAAAAAATAAAAATATATCAAAAAAGATGAAAATAGCTTTCGCCAAAAAAAATGTAGATTTACAATTCTGTTCCAGCCTGCTCCGAGGTGATTGGATTGGTTTTAGCCCATTGCCAGAGCTGACTAGAGACAGAGCAGACAAGTTTCACCTGAACAGTGCGCGACAGGCACTCTCGTGCAGCAAAACCTTGCAGTTGTCAGCTGCTGCTTGAAGTTAGCAGTTCGAACTTGGTTCTGTGCAGGGGAAGCCTGAAGCTCCTGAGTTGCCACCTGGCTGTCTCGACTCCTTAGGCTTGTCTGCCAGAGGTCGTCCTTCCTGCTTAGGCTCAAGCTGTGTGAGTTGTAGTTGTTTTCCTTTTGCTTTTGCAACCCAAAGGGTTGGCAGGTCCGTGCCGAATGGCCAGTCTTCCAGGGTCAGACTTTGGAGGTCTGTCTGAAGGCGGTTTTGATGACAAGGGTTCAGAGGCATCTGGACCGGTAGCAGAGCAGATCAGTTTTGATCTGAGCAAGCCTTGTACCTGCGCTTTGTGCCAGAAGACCAGTGTCTCAGAAAGCCCCCTGACAAGCAGCCACCTGCATGACAAGCATGGCAGCCGTAGGCCATGGAGTTCCTACAGGAAAGTCTTTGACAAGGCCTCTGGTGTCACGTACCGGGTTCCCCAGTCCAAGTTGTGTAGTTTGTGCCGGAATGTCTGGAAGCTCTTAGGCTTTTCCCACAAGTACGGAAACATAGCCAAATATGTGAAGATGATCGCAGAGAAGAGAGTTGACCATGCCGTTTTCCTGGCCAGTCTGGACGAATGTATCCAGAAGCACAATGCAAACCCAAACAAGCACAGGCTCCGCAATGCAGATGATAAGGACTCTGTCTGGGACACAAAAAAGAAACTGGTGACCAAGGACGAGCACGGCTGCGAGTTTGAAGCCCCTGCTAGCCATGCTGCTGCCAGTCCATGTTTGTTCGTGGACATTTGTGAATTGGGAGGCGATGTGGCGGATTGCGCCGCGCATGGGCAGAAGTGTCCGGTGCCACAAGTAGACCTCCTGGTTTTAGGGACATCTTGCAAAGATATGAGCCGAGCAAACCCCTGCCAGCACAAGGATTCCGCAGTGCTGTCTCAGCAGGTCAGTCGGGGAGGCTCCGCACAGACATTCCAAGGAATGCTGTCCTATTTGCAGAGCAAATGCCCACCCTTAGTGCTCTTCGAGAATGTAGACGCCATGGACGACAGCAAGGGCACGGACATGAACAACATGGACATCTTTTTGGCCGAGACTTCCGCCCGGGGGTATGAGAGTCAGGTCTGCATGACAGATGCAGCCGAGTTTGGATGTAGCGCCCGCCGGAGGAGAATTTATGTTCTTCTAGTCCGAACAGCCGTGAACCCGCTTCTGGACTTTACTACCAGGCCTTTGACAGCTGCTTTTGCCACCTTCCGGGCTTTGCTGCTTGGTTGCCTTCGAGGCGGACCTTGTGTGACCCAGATCCTTTTCCAGGAAAGTTCGGAACCAGTTCAACTGGAACTCGGGTTGCGCTTAGACAAGCGGGCGAAACAAAGGGAGAAGGACGCTGAGAAGAAACAAGGAGCACCCGCTCCCCCTCAGAGTTGGGTCGAGCAGCACATGCAGTTTGCCCAAAATCACCGGGTGCGTTGGGGGCAAGCTGTCCCAGCAAAATTGGCCGCCAATCAGTGGTACCAGACTTTGGGTGACCGTGAGCAAGACGCTTTGTCTTTGCTGCAGCAATGCACCCCGTACATTGTGTTCCGAGATTTGTCTCAGTCAATCGTGCGAGGAAATTCGAACACCTGGAGACAAGATTCCAGCAAGCATGTCATGAGCACAGTGCTTCCAAGGATGGTTCTTTGGTGTGAGGCACAGAATCGCCTAGTCCTTGGGCGAGAGGCTTTGCTCATGCAAGGCTTTCCAGTCCAACCTTTCTTGCAAATTTTGGCAGCGCGCATGGAGACCATGCCTTTGGCGCAGCAATGGCATCCTTCTGAAGCGCTCATGATGGACCTGGCAGGCAACGCCATGGCATTGCCAGTAGTCCTTGCTATGGTACAATGTGCGCTGGCTGCTTTAAATTGGAAAGATCGGACTCTATCCGGGCAAGCAGTTCAGTTGGCTTTGTCACAGACCGAGGACTCGTGTTGGAATGTTTGTTGACTGTTGACTGTTGATAGCGTGGGCAATGCGGTCTTGATATTCCTTCTCTTCCTCCTTTGTTTTCTCGCCTCCTTGCTTTTTAAGACTTAGATTTTGTGAGCCGTGAGTTTGGCGTCCCTCGTTCGTGTATTTAAGTGGGTTCATGGCAATTAGGTGGTGGCTGTTTTTGTGCCCATACATTGTGCAGGAGATGGCCCTTGCCTTTGGGGCGATGGAAGCTTTGGATTCAACTGCTCCCGTGGAAAGCAAGCCTCAGGCCGAGATCGCGATGAGTGCTCTGGATGAGCGAATCTACAAGAGAGCTAGAAAAGGCAAGTAGAGACGCTTTCAAAGCGGGCAGTTTGATGATGAGCGGCAAGGTCTTCAAAGCAGCCGGTAGTTCTTTTTTCAAATCATGTAGCAGCCAGAGCAAGGACTCTTTGCGCATGGCTCTGCTGAGGAAAAAAAATGTCAGCCTTTGCCTTTGCAGCTGTGTTGGGACAGGATGATATAAGCAAAGATTCCAACTGCAGCGAAACTTAATTCAACAAAAATTGACAGAAAAGCACAAAATATCAAACATTTTTCAAAAAATGTTTCTGTTTTGTTTTTTTTTAAAGCTTCATTTTTTCTTTTTATTTGGTTTTATTTTGTTTTTTCTTATTTTTTGTTTTTGTGAGTTCATTGTTTGTATACTCCTGTACTGAAAAGATCACAGCCCTTCTAAACCCAACCAATATATATATATATTATATCATCCTATATACAAAACATATCATATCCAAAATATTTCTATTTTCTTGGTAATACCGTAATACAATATACATTTCTATATAGTAATACCATGTAATACCGTCCTATGCATCCGGGCCGGTCATGTGCTTCGACAAAAAACGACCGGAAAGTTTTTCCCCGTGAGGTCATCCTGAAGCTGCGGTCAAATGGAATCTGCTGGAATCCCATGCGGCCAATGAAACTGGGCGATTTCGGTGGATTAACAACAAATTGGTTATGGATGTTTTATGGATGTTATTGATGATGTTAGATGATGATGTTATTGATGTTAGTTTCAAACATCAAAATGGGATGATTGGGATGATGATGGTCATCCCCAGCGACCTGAGGAATTTCACCGTGGCCAATGAGGACTGCAGCGACTTGTCAGCAACTGCCAAGCTGAAGAATTGCCATCGCTGCCTGTCCGAGGCTTGTATACCTTTGACATGCGAAAATTGTCGGCTGCCACCTACAGACATTGGGATCACGTCATGGCGGTTCTGGATGTGGACTATGCACCAAATGGAACCTTGGCGAGGAATTTTGTTCTATCTTTGGATCCAAGAGACATTCTTTCATGGAAATGCTTCCGGGGGTGCACTTTAGGCGCTTTTCATGACTTTTGGCAACATCTCAAGGTCAAGAGTTCGTGTCTGCCAGCTATGACAACACAATCCGATTGTGGGATGTTGGCCATCAGCGCTCAAAAGAGGCGCCCTCATGAAGAAAAATGTCACATTCGCCACTAGAGTAGTTGTTTCCTTCCCAAGTATGGGTGATGGACTCCCAATTCATATGGTCATTAAGAAACATAAAAACAATGAAGTTACTTTAAACTTATTAAAACCAACTTGTTTTAGTCGGTAATGCATTTCCAGAGTACTCTGTTGCATCCTTGCACTGCGCATATCGTGCAGGTGTACCATGGCAAGCGTATGCAGTAACGTGGCAGCAAACGGGGGGCACGACTCCGGGCTGTCATCAGAACCAGCTGCAGCCGCGCATCAAGGCGAGTGCTATGCTGCCACTACACACCGGATGGAAGATTTGTTCTCTCTGGCTCGGAAGACACAAACATTCGTGTTTGGAAGGTGCCTCAAAGTGCTTTGATGCTCTGGATCCCTCTGAGAATCGGCAATGTGGCGAGTCGTATCTTTACTTCTGCGATGTATCGCCGTGACATCACCGTGAGGCGAAAGCTGACCAAAAGCTGGGTGTGGCAACGCCGCGGGAGACCAGGGCAGCAGCGCTTCTGACCTGTTTCTTTCATCACTTCGTGTTATTTTTGGCTTCACCACAGCCCCCACAGCCCCCACAGCCCCTGCAACAGGCTTATCGAGAAGCTCTGAAGAAAAAGTTTCAGCGGATGCCAGAAATCGCGCGGATCCAGCGATATCGGCAGCTCAACTGATGGGGTTTAGAGACAGCAGCCTGTTCCAAAGTGACCAAAAAACAATGCACAGCTTACACGTAACAGCACATGCCTGTGATGGTTTTCAATCCGTAATCTGCTGAAGTCTTGTGATAGCCGCGATCTAGGCATGTGCCCAAGATGGTGGCTTTCTCAGATGTCAACTGAGTCAGTCGTGTTGAAGAGAGTCGCAAAACATAGAAAAAACAATTGGTGCAAAAACAGCTGCCAGCACCAGAGGGCAGAGAGCACCAACTGGGGATGGTTTGAATGGCTGTAGCAACTTGTGGTGAAATTGGGGATGGCTGGGATGGCTTATGCTTGTGCATCCCACATGAATTGCAAGCTGCAACAGTGCTCTACGTTGACCTGAGATCAAAACGATCGGCCATAAGCGGCGCATCATGAGAGAGGCCCGCACAGCTGTGCTGCACCTGTGCTTAGATCGACCCGAACGTTCCATGTACCCTTTAGCCATCACCTTCTAGCAACTCGAAAAGAACATCTACAGAAGCTGGATTTTCATGGATTGATCCATTGCCATGTTTTACCAATCTGTTTTCCAAAGCGGCTTCCACAGTTGCTCCGTAGGCCCGGCAACGAAAAGAGACGAATCGCCGAAAGCACTCCAAGCCTGGCACCATGGACCACGTGCCCATGAAGCATCCTGGCGATGTGGCCCAATTTTGAGGCCCTGAAACCAATGGTACCACTGGGGAAAATGATGATGAAACCTGTTCGGGGATTTTTGGGGTGTGCACTTATTTTGGACCAATCCTTTTCCTGTTTTTTGATGAAAAGTGATCTTCTGGAGTGGCACCAGCCCATCCACTCTAAGGAAGCGACCCATCATCAAGGAGCTCGAGTAGCTCTCGGATGTCAGACCAAGGGTGCGGAAAAAGATCGCTGGAGACACGATGTGGTAAACCTTGAACTAAGACTAAGAACCACAAGATCTATGAGTGGGTTTAGTGCATGGTTTACCACATTGCAATCATTGCAAAACCACTCATTTTTCAGACTCCGAAATTCTTTGCCTGGCATGGGTTTGGCTCCAAGCAGTGCCACTCTAGAAGCCCATGCAGCTTGATTCTTAAGACATCTTAAGACTATCTCTAATTGTCACGCTTTGAAGGGTGAACATATCCGCTTCTTTTGTCCAAAGGGCGTGCGCTATCATGAAGTCATCCGGAAGCTCTGCGCCGGATGGCAGTGCGATCGTTTGGTCACATGGCTAATCAAGGATATTCCATTTTATTTTCCAAAGAGAGGAAGGCTGGAAGGCTAGAAGGCTTGGACTTGGAAGATGAGGTTTCGAAAAGGACTGCGACTCTCTGACAATGCTGCACTGGTGGAGGTGCGGCTGGTTTCAGTGGCAACTGAGCCTTTTTTATCCTTTTTTCCTGTGCAATTTCCAGGCTTCCAAAGCTGGTGTGAAACATGTCTGCAGCGGCCCAAGTCACACGGCACCGTTAGGCCAGGTGCGGGTCCCTTGATTCTCACGCAGTTCGCCTGAGATGCTGTTGAAAAAGCCCAGATGCCAAGGCCCAATTTTCGTGATCGATCCGCATTTTGGACCGAAATACGTTGGCATTAATCGTTCCTTGGAAACAGAATGGCCAAGGCTGAATTCCTTCTTACCCTTTGCCTTGAACAACCAGGTTACAACTTCCTTCTGGACTGTTTGAAGGATTTGGACAAGTCACCTGTTTGCAAGATGATTTGCATCGAAACATAGCGAAACATGGCAGCAACCATGGCCATGGCACAAGTCATTCAGCTTCGATGCACCAGGCAGCTGAACAAGCGATACCGCAGCCGTTTGATTGTGCTGCGCGGAAAGCCGGAGGAGCAAACCATGGGCATGGCAAGGTTTTTTCAAAAGAATTTTGGATATAATGGACATATATATATATATAAATATATATATATATATATTTATTTATTTAGGTGTTAGTTTAGTTGTTGGCAGAAATATAGAGTCTTCCTGTTTCTTGAGATCTTGAGCTCCTTTATTTTGTTTGATCGTCTAGTCATTTCTTGTTTTTTTTGGAGTATTTTAGTCCGAAGAAAACGGGAGAGCAACATATGACGTATGCTTGAGCTGTTTGTGTGGCTCAGCGTGGCTCAGCTCTGCTACATTTGGCTCCAGCGTCACATCTACAGGATGCCGAGGATCCCACTTGGAAGTATCCACCTGCAGTGAATCGGACAGTGGATTCTAGCCTTCTACAAAGCACAGAGAAATGCATCTCAGTTGGTTGAAGTGCTCAAAGTTATTGGGACGGTCAAATTGCCGCTTGAAAAACATACATGGCCACCCGACATGGTGCTTCTTATACACTCCTCAACGTCTCTCAGGACTCAGCTGCCTATGTGGTTGATCTGGGTATGGCTCCAGGTTTGTATCCCCAAAATGAGGTGCTTTAGCACTTTGTACCTCTAGATTCCTAGACAAAACAATCATTTGTAGGTACCTTTTCAGCCAAACGTGGCTGGATCTCGGTGACAGGACGGTGAAATTGAAGCCACCAAAGAGCCAAGCAGAAGTGCTGCAAAGTGCCTCAGTTGAAATGGCCAACAGTTCTTTTGGCTAAGCAACTTTCCCATTTGGAGCAGTTTTTTTTCTTCTCTCCGGTTGCTTTTAATGCGGACTCGGTGTGTGGGATGATGCAATGTGAAACACTGAGGTGGTGGAGAATATGCTGCATTTTCAGCATCGTACTTTGCCTGGCACTGCTTCCTGTGCCACTCAGCAAGATCTACTGTCTTCCACAAGCTCCGGGTGACAAAGAGTCTCGAGATGTCTTGAGCAATTTGACTTTCTCGGCACTCGAGGCTGCTGACCATTGTGGTATTCATCCCTGGAATGTTCAGCTGTGGCTTCTGGAGAGTGTCTTGATTCACTCTGAGGAGAGGTCCTGCAAGATTTTCACCCCACACCGCATGTTTTTGGAGGGTAGAAATTCACGATGTTTGATGTGCCAGATTGCCATGGCAACACGTGGACGCGTGGAAACCCTGTCCACCTGTGGAGCCACTAAGCAGCTGAGGTCCTTTGTACCATGAAATTCTGGGTTTGGCCCAACACCTGCCGCGAAGACTTCCACAAGTGCTTGGCAAGGCAGGAGCTGAGAAGAGCCACAGAGGATATTTTAGGGTGCCCCGGGTGCCCCGGGTGCCCCAGCCCCAGGTTGCCGCTGGGGGCAAACAATGTCCCCTTCGGCTATTTGGTGATGTCAAGTTGGAGTCTTCCCAGCTACATCAACCTCACAGGCAGGTTTTGGGCTATGTGTTTGGGGCTGGTGGTCTGGAAGTTGTCGAATTTCTAGCATTTCTTGGAAGATATTTTGGTCGCGGCAGGGATCCCTACAAGTTCCTATGACTACCAGCTGATTGTCTCGGAGGCTGCGGTGTGAGCCAAGTGCCCAAGCAATTGATGCTTTCACATCTAATGTCAACCCTGGATCCATGTACCATTGTAGTAGCAGATGATCACTTTTGGAGGGGGTGAATCTTTCCCATCAGTCAAGCAGGGTTTATTCATCATATCTATCCAACAGTTGAGATTATTCATCATTTTATTTTCCATCTTTGGAGAGGATCAACCTTTGAGTAACGAGCGGATCATTCAGATCTTGTGCCCTGCAGGGTCACCGGATGCCAGAGAAGTTCTTTTCGGGTGAGTGGTGGCGAGGGAATGAACTTGGTGGTGCCGCTGCTTGGTTGCGAGATGTGTGACATGATGGCATGATATCAAAAGAGTCAGCAGAGTTTCCCATTCTATCCCATTCATGTTAGTAAAGCACTAGTACACTACACCCAATTTACCATAACTGGGGCTATAAACCATCAAAATGCAGGTGGTTGATTATTGCTTTACTAACATTCTACTTGTCTCCGCTATGTTGCTATTATTTCCCAATATATCCCATGACATTATTATATTTTCATTTTCAGGCTTTTGCATCTTCAGGTGAACAATCCATACTACTGGAGTGGTGTGGAGATATGGCCCATGTCTATTGGCATGGGTATCACTGAGCAGCAGTCCACTGGCTTAGCTTTGGCGAAGAGCCCTGGAGGTGCAGATCGGTTGGGGAAACTTCTGATTCTTCTGTGGGGTTGACTTTCTTAAGATCAGTCCTTAAGGCGTTCCGCGGTTCGCAAGTTCGTGGAGGAAGCATTTGCAGCCCCTACGGACAGAGGCACGCTTGGGGAAATGTAGATCAGTGTTCAATTTCTGGTTGGTGATAGCAGTGACAGTGATAGCATATTTTATGGAATTATTTTCAGGTCAATCAGCAACCTTGGATTTGTTGCCCCATCGCCTTCCAAGCTGCGAAAAACGCAGGTTGGATTCGAGCTGGGCTCCGGCAGTTTTTCAAGGAGGGCTCCCGGGTCAGGGAATTTCTGATGCTGACTGGGTGACCGTGGATGAGTGGAATGCTTGACGTGGTATGACATGCTTATGTATATAGTATAGACATATAGTATAGTATTATATAGGGGCATTTGGTGATTTTGGTGCAACGGGTCATAGTGCCAAAGTACTGGTTTCTATCATTGGATGCGCTGAAACTGATTGGATTTCAAGACCATGAATAGCGAGAATCAACAGGAAAGGTCCTACATTTGGATGGTGTGAAGCCACGAAAAACCCAAGAAACATGACCAATTCCCTGAAGGAGAGGGCTGAAGCTGGCGAACTGAACGTCATGGAGGATGTGTCCATTTGGGTGCACCAGGCAGGACTGGTGATTTCACCATTGAACAGTTGCGGAATAGCCTCACCAGGTTCTCATGAACACCACCTTGAACTGGATGGTGGACTATGCGTATGCCAAGGAGTTTGTGAAGGCATGCAAGAAACAGCCATAGTTATTGGAGCATTTGCCATTGGAGTTTCGTCCTTTTTGAAGTGTATTTTTACCACGATGCGGGGCGACTGATACATCTCTTCTAGTCCACAGCACATCCACCGGTGGGTACTTTTTGAGGCTCGGTGCTTTTTTTTGGAAACACATGGTGCACAGTTTTCACGTTTCCCAGGTTCAAAGCAACTTCTTCACTTATGGTACTGTCAGCCACTGGGCCGCAACACATCCACAGCACAGGGTCCAGCAGGGTGCAGCAGTGCAGCAGGTGTTTGACCTTGAGGTCAGGTGGCTCCCAAGTCGACCTACAGCACCCTGGGCCGCTTTCTGAAGATGCCACAGACCAGAGATGCCATCGCTGCTTATGTCCGCGCCTATTTGCCCATCGTGGAAGATTCTCGGCCGCAGGATGGCAACCACGGGAGTAATGGGATGATCCTGATTTCCAATAAATTTCTGGATAAATGAACTAGAACAGAGAAGTCATTTTTGCATTTCGTGGGCTGTGGATTTCCAGCTGTACGTTACCGTTGATGTTGCAACATATAACTTCATATAACGCACTTTGATGGCACGTGGTCAGCGGCTGAGGAACGTTGGGGTCAAAAGCTGGCCAATGCGGATTGCTCGCCCTCGAAAAGCTGCACTGTCCAGCTGGCAAGTATGATACTTGGCGGCTTAGAACCCCTAGTGTTTTTCCGACAGTGTTCAATTTAAGTGTTGCAGAGTGTTGTTTTTCAAGCTGGAACATTTGGAGATCAATCATTGCTGATTATCTAGCTGTAAATAATACTGTGATATATATATATATATATAATATACACGTATTATGTATGTATGATTATGTATGTATAAACTACACATACATATGTGCCATGGTCAAAACATGGTATGTGGGTTTCGGTCATCCATCTAACAGTGGTAATCCTCACAGTGGGCCGCCTGGCTTCAGGCTCTTGGACGGTCTCCTCTCAACTGGGGGCCACTTCCTGCCATATGGAGCTCGGGCATCCGTAGATGACTGGGTGGATCGTCGGTTACCTATGAAATACCATATGAATCCATATGATAGTGGGGGATTTCACAGCAATGGTGGTTCAATGGGAGTTGAATGGACTGTAAAGGATGGTTAAGTTAAGACCAAGTCAAACTGTTCTTGTGTGAAAACCAGGGGATTCCATGGGTTTTGACTCATAGCCTGATGTTTTGTGCCTTTAAGCCTACTTCTATGGATTCAAAACAAGTAAAAAACGAAAACTCATGCGAAAAAACAAACAAACAAAACAAAACAAAACCCAACCCAACCAAACCCAACCAAACCCAACCCAACCCAACCCAACCCAACCCAAACAAACAAACAAACAAACAAACAAACGGACGAACGAAGGAACGAACGAACGAACGAACGAACAACCAACCAACCAAACAAACAAAACAAACAAAACAAACAAAACAAACAAAACAAACAAAACAAACCAACAAACAAACCAACAAACCAACAAACCAAACAAACAAAACAAACAAAACAAACAAAACAAAACAAACAAAACAAACCAAACAAACCAAACAAACAAACAAACAAACAAACAAACCAACAAAGCAACAAACCAACAAACCAACAAATCATTGTTCGCAGAAAAAGCAAACACAAAAGCACAAAAAACAAACGACTATTTTGAAATAAACAAAAAACAGAACCAAAAACCACAACAACAGCCATATCCGGTTGTTTTTGCCTAAATCATGTTTGGATTAGGTTGTGTTTTTTTTTGTTCATTTTGTTTGTTTTTAAATCATTTTATAGAAGTTGCCTGTAAGCCGCATCACAATAGCCATGTGATTTTCCAAGTTGACTTGACCAGGTCTGAAAGCGACACATGCCCTGCCACCAAACCCAGGAATCAGATCCGGCTTGGCGGTTCTGTTTTCCACTTCATCAAGCAACCCTGGAAATGGTCAAGGGGAGCTTGTGGCCGGACATGAACTGGAATTCTTTTGGGAGTGCCTCAGCTTGGACGAAAAATGGCTTGGCTTTGCTCGTGCTCTTGCTTTCAATGCCATTCTGTTGGAATGCTAAAAAACAAAATGCGCGGTTGCACTCAGGTGTTTGCGAATGATTCCGCCAGCTCTTGGAATTCCTTACTGGAGAGAAACGAGACCAACCTGCGTCGGAATGACAGCTGAAGAGACTCAAGAACTCACGGAATACAAGGACAGCCGACTTGGATGCCCTAGGCATGATTTTTGTTCCGAATTCTGTATTCTATGCTGGAATTCTATGGCCATGGCATGCCATGGTGCTGGTCTTTTGCTGCATGAGTTGGGGGGATCATAGGTGATGATACCCGGAAACCCGGTGCTTTTCTGAATTTTCCTGCGCAGGGACGGACTTTCGCGTGTCCGAAGCTCGACAAGAACCCATGGACTGGTCTGAGTCTGAGATGAGAACCAACTCTCCAAGCAGAGGTCTCCCAGCATCCTGCCGAGGCTACCCTCCTGTGAATCAATGGGATGGTGGTCACCGCTACGTTCTAGGTATACTGCTTGGGCAACAAGGTCGGATCTTTCGATTTCCAGAGAGATCAGATACACAATCCTGGAAAGTGCACAGGCATTGTCAGAATGATGCTGTTTGTTTTGCCGTGCCCTGTCAGATCCCCATGTCTGGGGCGAGGGCGCGGATTCGACTTTTCGCGTCCGGCCTCTTCAAGAGTACGAGAAGCCACTTGCTACGGGGAAGGTTCTCACACGGGAGCAAGGTCCAAGCAGTCCAAAGTCTGTGAGAAAAATCCGAAGTGTTGATGATGTTTCGAGCGTTGAGATTTTGATTCTGGAATTTCAGACCCCGAAAACTACTTGTTGCTAAGAAACCACTTGGGATTGTTTGAACTAGGGTACCTCAATTTTCCCATGGTTTGCTACGATTTCCCCATTCTTTAGTGGCGATAATATTGGAACCCATCAGCCATTTTCTGCAATATCAAAAAACCAGACTAGTCAAGGGATTTGTACTTGGCTTAACCACATGAGCAGCGCCAAAAACCCGTTGGTATTGGAGCTTCTACAAACTTGTTAGAAAAGGAATCTGACAATCCATTATTGGAATAGCAGATATCAGTACAAACCAGAAACGAACCAGTTGGCAACCAGGTTTATGACTCTTATGACGCTCAATGAATTTTAATGAATGACCTTGCAAGAAGTGGCTAGGAAACACCTAGGCATTTCAGCATATTCCCAGGTTGTCTGTGGGCTTCAATGAGATGGCTACCAACTACGGCGTCAACGGTGGCCGCTCCAATCGAAACTGCCCGGCCAAAGAGTTGGCTCTGCTGCTGGGGAAACTGTTCTTCGAGGAGCTGGGTAAACGTCGTTCGCGCTGTGTCCTATGGCTCCATAGGGGATATATCCAGAACATGGCAATTTCATAGGGCATTTATTCTCATTTGATCATGTGATGATGAAGGAGTGGACTTGGGGTGTACCAAATTTTTGCGCGGACCCTTTCCAGCGAAGGTTTTCGATAGTTGTCGAAGTTTAGGCTGGACTGAGGTCGATCCACGCTGCAGTTTCAGGCTCAAAGGCCTAGCTCGTGATGCCAAGCAGTGGGGCTCTTTGCAAGAAGTGCAAGAGCGGCCTTGCTGCTGAGGGCGACAGCTGGTGTGCCCTCTGCTCGAGCGCCACTGCGCTGAGCGAGGCGAGCAAACACCGGTTTAGCTCCTTGGCACATCGAGCTTTGGCCGAGGAAGTTTCGGTCCAAGCGTCCCGACAGGTTCGTGCCTTGATCCAGTTGGACCGCCAGGTGGACTCCGAGAGGACCTCGCTGAACGACCGGCTCAAGAACGCCAAGGTTAAGCTGGCCGAGGTCACCAACCAGGTGGACAAGTCTGCGGCCCCCAAAAGTGCTGGCGCGCGCCCAGTCGCTGCTAGCCCAGGACCGGCGGCTCCGGTGAAAGCCGAAGCGGTGGAACGAGACGCTGGCCGTGAGGCCCTGGCGGAGACTCGCCCACCTGCTAGCGCAGCCGCGGCCGACGAAGCCGATTTTGGGTCCGAGTCCTTTGAGGAGGAAAGCGAGGAAGAGGAGCCCGTTCGTGATCGGGCAGAGGAGGAAAGCGACAAGAGAAGCGCGGTACCCCCTCGATCACCCTCTAGGCCACCTCTGCCGAGGGCTGAGCCCAAGAAGAAAAGAAGGCATCGAAGCCGCAGCCGGGGAAGGCGCGGAGGAAAGAAACATCAACAGCACTTCCGGGGGCTGGACGCGCCTGATCAGCGGTTCCACCACCGGTACCAGCCGGAGCCCATCAACTTGGGGGGTAACTCCCGAGGGTGGCACTACTATAAGTGATGGTTGACGTGGGACCCGAGGTAGTCCCACCATGGCCGGAAGTCCCGGGCGCTGGCGCTGGGATTGGCGATGCACCGGACGGGTCAGGTGTGGTGATACAGTCTATACCGCATCAGGACCCACAATTTTGGAAGGATTGTCCCGTCGAGCGGGGGTCAATTCTGGAAATCCCCACAACCCGGCAAAATGCCGATGGACAGGAGGAGGAAAGTCGCTTTGCGGTTTTCGTAACAGATGTTGGAATGGAGGAGCATGGCCTAGTGTTACCCGTGAAGTTCCTGGGCGGGGCGCACGAATGGGCCAGAGAAGGGGGTGTAAAAACCTTCTCACGCGAAAGGAAGCAGCTTCACGTGTGCCGGGAGGGCGCTGTGAATTGCTCACTTCCAGGAGAAAAGTTTTGGCACGTAGATACGCTGGCGGTCTTCCCCTTGGGAGCTCAGCCCCCAGACTATGTGGCAAAACCCAAGCGCCGGGAATGGGTGAGATGGCACGCCGAGATCATGGGCCAGGTACCGGCGGGTCGAGGCAAAGGCGGCCCAGGCACTTCGGCCCCTACGTTTCCGCCATCGCCGCCCGATCGGATCTCCGCACTGAGATCCCGCTTACAGCAGAGGGCTCTCCCAGGGGCTGGAAGAGGAAGCGGCAGCGCTGTGGTAGCGCCCGCAGCCACGCCAGCTCTGAGAGACGCCCCGCCAGGGACAAGCCGAAGAGAAGGCGCGAATCCCGTCAAGACGGAACCCGTGGAGGAGATCAGTTCGGACTCGCAGAGACCAGTTCGACCACGGAAATCCCGATCAATGCGGGCAGCGCTGGCACAAGCCGTGGCGCGACGGGATATGTCGGGTCGAGAGGAGCAGACTCGCAGAAAGGATCGTCGCAGGTCGAGGAGTCGCTCTCGGAGGAGGAGGTCCCGACGCAGAAGTGGGAGACGACGGGACAGCAGAAGCGGGAGCGACAGCCGTGGCTCGAGCGAGGCCTCAAGCTCGGACAGCTTGGTACCGCCTTTACAGAAGAAGGCGGCCAAGGAACCCGGATCTGTCCTCCGGATGTTGCTTACCAACGTGAGCGAGGCTCTGGCGGAAGCAGCAGTCCTGGACGATCCCAATGGGGAATCCCTGATGCGAGGGAACAAAATGTCCAGCTACTTTCAGATCGTCGCACGGCCTCAGCTCCACGGGAAGATCAGGGACGCCCGGGAGCTAGAGACACTAGCGCGGTGCGTCGATCTCCTGAAGGCCGGGCGCCTCCCCGAGTTAGGGGACTCTCTGGCTGGGCGTTTCCTGGCCGTGGAGAGCGCCGCCTTGACGAACAACTGGCAGGACGCTCAACATTTGGAAGTCATTCCAACTCGCCACGCCGGTTTGGCCGGTCCCGCTGTCCTTCTACAAGCTCAGAAGCACGCCCGACAGGTCGAGAAGGCAGCAGGCCGCACACCGTGGAAGCGGAACCCCTACAGTGGAGGGGGCGGCGGCGGCGCTCACAGCGGAGGAGCTCCTCAGGGCGACGAGAAAGGAGGAGGCGCCGGAAAGGGCAAAGGAGACCGTCGAGGAAAAGGCAAAGGCGGTCGCAAGGGCGCAGGGGCCTGGAGGGCTCCGGTTGCCAACAGTGGCCGGGACGCCGCGAAGGAGGGCCCCGCCGGAGGAGGCGGAGCGGACAAATAGCCCCCGACTGCGGGGCCTCACCGTGCGCCGGCGCTGGTGAGGTGAGCAAAGATGATGATGGCTTTTGGGCCACATTCGCAGCCTTGATCCCAGCTGTCATGTGCGAAGACACGGACGGCGGGAGCGAGGGGGTCCTGGAGGACCCTTATTTTCCCCCAGGGGATACTGTTGAAGTGATCTCGAAGGAGGTTACTAGCGCTGGGTCATCACAGCCGGAACCCGGGCGCTTTTTTGCAAATTCGAAGGTGGCTACCTTCGCAACGCCGGAGGAACTAGGTGTTTCACTGGTTGAGGGGATAGTCCGCGGGCATTTTCCTGTCGGAATGGAAGGTCTTTTTGAACAGGTCAGGCACAACACATCTGTAGATGTTTTTGGCAGACACCGTGGACTATTTCCTCTCCCAGTTAACTGGAGCCGGGGGCCCAACTCGGGAGATGCCCGTGAGTACCCTGTGCAGGCGTGGGAAACTTTAATATGCTTCGCACTGAACCAGTTGTCCGGCTGCAAAAAAGGTGCACCGCAGAAGCGCCAGGGGGAACAGGTAAGAGTGGTTTTAGAGAACCTTAGGAGTAGGATAACCCGATTCCTTTCCCTTTTTAAACCCGAGGTTGTTTGCCCTGGGGATTTGTGGGAGGATGTTCTTTCTAAACGGATTTCTTATGAAGGAGAGGAATTTGTTGATCCTGTTCCGCTCACAGTGGAACAGATTGAGAAAAGCCTTCCCCCTCTGGGGCATGGCGGATCAGTTGACCTAGAGCCCTTGCTAGTGGGACGAGCGAAGTATCTCATTCAACATCCGGAAATGATACTCCTAGAGCAGGATGAACGTGAACCAGGACCCAACAGAGGACGAGTCCACATTGCAGCAGGCGAAGAGTTGAAAGTCTGGAAGCTGCTCGAAGAACGTGGCATAATTGAGTGGGTCAACGTCAAGAATGTCCACCAGGACAACGGTGGCCCGTTTTTATCAGGCATGTTCGGGGTGCCCAAGGCCGGCCGGTTCTCTGCCCGTGGGGAACCTCTGCTCCGGGTTATCATGAACCTGAAGCCGATCAATCGTGCCATGGGCATCATTCAAGGTGACATTGGTGAATTTCCAGCGGCAACTACATGGGGGCAGCTGGTGCTCGAAGAAGACGAGACCATTGAAGTTAGCCAGGCAGACATGTCTTCAGCTTTCTATCTATTCAAACTGCCCCCGCAATGGACAAAGTATCTATGTTTCAACGCCAGGTTTACCGGCGATGCGGTGGGGCTGCCTGCATCAGAGACTTTCGTTCCGGCCTGCAAAGTTTTGCCCATGGGCTGGTCGAGCTCGGTAGGCCTTATGCAAATGGCTTCGCGGGAGCTCGTGCGAAGGCGGGATTACTTGACAGGCGCGGAGCTGCGGAGGCAAACTCTAGCCCCCCGGTGGTTTGTTGATACTTTATTGCGAAGTGGATCAGAACACTTCTGGCAAGTATATCTTGACAATTTCATGGCCGGAGAGGTTATGATGAAAGGAAACAGCAGTGGCTTTTCAGAACAAATGCACGGTGAGGTGTGCACGTCCTGGGCTTCGCATGGGGTGCTCTGCGCTGAAGACAAGCACATATTGGCGAGCCAGGACGCCACCGAATTGGGGGTCAATATCCAGGGGAAGCTGGGTCTCGTAGGAGGTGGACCTCTGAGGCTGCACAAGCTCCTCTGTGCTACGCTGATCCTTATCGGGCACAAGCTGCCAAAAGTCAAGTGGGTTCAGATCATCTTGGGGCGCTGGATCTTCGTCCTCCAGTTCAGGCGCCCAGCCATGGCAATTCTCAGCCAGAGCTGGAACTACACCAAAGCCGGGCAAGACCGCAGGCGATGGTGGCCAGTGGTGCAGCGTGAGCTTAGCATGCTGATATGCCTGGTACCTCTAATCCATACGGATCTCCGGATGACTTTCTCACCCGTGGTGACTTGCTCTGACGCTTCCCTTTACGGGGGGGCGGTTGCAACGGCCGAGGCGCTTGGCAGCGCTGGCCAGCAACTAGCCCATCGTTTGGGGTCAGATACGGCTGAACCCCTGCACGTGGATCTCTTGGTGATCTCAGCCTTCAATGGGATCGGCGGGGCATTCCGGGGCTTTGACCTGGCGGGGGTTAAACCCGCTGGTCTAATAGCCATCGAATGGGACCGAGCAGCCCAGCGTGTCACACGGAAAGCCTGGCCCCAGGTCATCGAAATCGGAGATATCGAGAGCATTGAAAAACGGCAGGTCATGCAGTGGGCAAACCTGTTCCCGCGGGTAACCCACGTCCAAGTGATCGGAGGCTTCCCATGTGTTCATCTCTCCTCAGCTCGAGCCGGAAGAGAGAACTTGGAAGGAGAAGGGTCCAGGCTATTCTACAACCTCAAGAGACTCATAACCTGGGTAGAGGACGCTTTTGGGCACACCGCCCAAGTGGACTTCTTGGTGGAGAACGTGCTCAGCATGGATGCATCAGCCCGGGCCGAGATCTCCAGGGAGCTGGGCGTCGAGCCCTATGCGCTCTGCCCGTCCGATATCCTTCCCTACAATCGGCCACGGTTGGCCTGGACCTCGCAGGAGCTGGTCGAAACGGAAGGAATCAGTTTTGAGCGGATGGAGGGTTTCATCCGAGTCCACATGAAAGGAAGCCCGATCACCGATGAACAGTGGATTGAGCCTGGCTGGTTCCGTTTTGACAGTAGCATTGCACTGTCCACTTTCATGAAATCCATTCCTAGGCGGCGACCACCCGCTAAGCCTGCCGGACTAAATAGATGCGACCGCAACTGTATTCAACGTTGGGAATCCGACGAGTTCCGATTTCCCCCATATCAATATCGGCTGGAGAACTTGCTGCAGAACAGGGATGGCGAAGTGCGCTACCTATCCGCAAGTGAGCGAGAACTGCTCTTGGGTTTTGGTTTTCAGCATACGCACTTCGCAATGTCTGCAAGCTTGGCCAAAACAGCAGGAGTTGCTTTTGTGGATAAAAAGCTGTCCCTCTGTGGTGACTCTTTCTCCATGCTGTCTTTTGGCTGGATCATTAGTCAGCTCTGTAAGCACTGGGTGCGGCCGCGATCACCGACTGAAATCATCAAAAGAATGGGGCTGGCCCCGGGGTGCGGACTGGCCGCCCACCTGGAGGCACCAATTCAGCGGGCACTCTGTTATGGGCCAACAGGATCAAACTCCCCATGCACTAAAGATTTGGTAGCCCACTTGTCAAGACATGTTAATCATACAGGCTCGGACGTCTGCCTCTCTTTAGGAACCCCTTTTTCCCCTAAAATCTCCAACCATGTCACGTTACGTGCTGATTGGTGGACCTGGAAAATTCTCTTTACAACTAAATGGAAATTCTCCAGTCATATAAATTTCCTTGAGATGAAAATGATTCTGCAAAGTATTCAATGGCGGGCCCGAAAATCCAGTGCATGTAACAGCCGATGGTTACACCTTTCTGATAGCATGGTCTCAAACTACATCCTGAGTAAGGGACGAACCTCCAGCCAGCTTTTACAGCCGGTCACCCGTGAAATCGCAGCGCACCTCTTGGCTCTCAACTCCTTGCAAATGCAAGGACACGTGGATTCCTCGGAAAACCCGACGGATGCCGCGAGCCGTGCGACCGCCGATCCGTAAGGGAAAGTCGCTGGCTGAGCGAGTGGCCGCGCGACAAGGCATTTCCCTCCGCGGCATCAGTATCAGCATCAAAACGGAACAAAGATACAATTCCGCGCTGGCCACTCTTTTGCCGGCGCTGGAGGAAGCCCAATGCCTGGAGGATCTGGATCCCTTATGTGAGGAGTGGGTTGAATGCCAGTGGGCCGCTGGAACTCCCCTGGGCCTCATTGGCGACGCTCTTTGCGCGGTTCACTTCTACTGGCCTCAAGTCAAGGGGCAACTGAGAGGTGCTTGGAAGTTGTACCGTAATTGGCGCCGCATTGAAGTCCCCCAGCGGGCCCCTCCTCTTCCGCGACGGATCTGCAGGGCTCTGGTCAGCTTTTGCCTTGACCGTTCCGAGCCGGAAATGGCTTTCCTCCTGGCGTTGGGTTTCCATACCTACCTCCGGACTGGCGAGATGCTCAAGTTGCAGGTCAGAGATGTAGTCCTATCACCCCATCACGGAGTGGTCACCATTCGTAGCAGCAAGTCAGGTTTACGATTTAATATTGATGAATCCGTTGCTGTCTATGACTTCACTCTCCTTCAGCTCTGGGAATTGTGTCACATGGCTCGTGCGCTGGCTCCAAGCGATTTCGTCTGGAGCCGCAGCGCTGCTTCCTTCCGGAAGCTCTTCTATGAAGCAATTCATTTCTTTCAGCTGGACGACCTCAACTTTGCCCCGTACAGTATCAGGCGTGGCGGAGCAACGCACAGCTTTCAGATCTCTCAAAGCCTCGAGAGCATATTACTCCGTGGCAGGTGGAGGGCTCTTTCCGTTGCCAGGATCTACATCGAAGCAGGCCAGGCAGAACTGTCTCAACTTCAATTGTCCCGGCGATCCCAGTCCTTAATTGCCACCTACAATCAGGGTATTCCCGCTCAGATGCTTCCTTAACGCCTCCTTAGAGGCATGCTAGGGGTCGTGGAAGGTGTTCGTTTTTTGGCATGCCAATTGCCTTGTCAGGCCAGCACGTGCCTTGCGTGCATAAAGGCCGGATCATAGGATCCGTCAAAGACCAAAGGGTCGGCACAGCCAGAGGGCTGATGTCCACGGTTCATTGGAACCTTTTCTATCAAAAGGCGCTTACTGCCTCTGTAAGCACTATAAACCTTCTTGTGCTTGACCGAAAAAGGGGGAGCGTGCAGCGACGTAAGACAGCCTAGGTTTTCGATAGTTGTCGAAGTTTAGGCTGGACTGAGGTCGATCCACGCTGCAGTTTCAGGCTCCCTCCCCTTCCCACCCGTGTGCTTGCGCTGGGTTCGGAAGGTGTTGGAAGGTGTTCGTTTTTTGGCATGCCAATTGCCTTGTCAGGCCAGCACGTGCCTTGCGTGCATAAAGGCCGGATCATAGGATCCGTCAAAGACCAAAGGGTCGGCACAGCCAGAGGGCTGATGTCCACGGTTCATTGGAACCTTTTCTATCAAAAGGCGCTTACTGCCTCTGTAAGCACTATATCCGGATCATAGGATCCGTCAAAGACCAAAGGGTCGGCACAGCCAGAGGGCTGATGTCCACGGTTCATTGGAACCTTTTCTATCAAAAGGCGCTTACTGCCTCTGTAAGCACTATAAACCTTCTTGTGCTTGACCGAAAAAGGGGGAGCGTGCAGCGACGTAAGACAGCCTATTATTAGGAAGGCTTACGGTTTCCTTCCGATGCATTGAACATCATCGATGACTTGCAGGAGTTCGATGTGTCCGCGTGGGAAGCAAAGGAAGCGAATATTCATATCGATTCTCGAGGTGCCATTCTCAAGAGTGGACACTTGGGGGTGCAGTTGAGGTTCTGAATGGGTATAGCCAGGTAATCCCCCCAAGTTGGGACTTGCTGATGTCATTCTTGCCAGTTTAGCCGCAGCTGTTAGAGCGAGTTCATTGAAAGTTCATATCAATGTGATGATTGGCAATGATAGCACACATCGAAATCACTGTGATGGCACGTGATGAAGACTGTGATGCCTATGAAGGTGACAATGACCTCGGTGACCACTGTCATGACTCCTCTCCCTCCCTCTGTACACGTTGTCGTTCATGTAAACCCACAGGGTGACTAATCATCCTGTCTCTGTTGCTGTTGACAAGGTGCCGCCAGCAGGGTCCAGCCATTCACGCTCTTGCCGCGCAAGAAGACCGTTCCTGAGAGTGAAACCTGACGTACCAAAGGGAAGGGGGCAACTTGACAGTTCCAAAGAGCAAAGCCCTCAATGGAAGCTGGTTGAATGCCATGAATACTTGCACGTAGTTCAAACCAATCTGAACAGCTTTAGTTTCGCCCGCCAAAAATGTGGGTGTGTTTATTGCGAAATGCCAAGGACAGGCTAAAATGCCGGTCCGAACCACTGAGTTTCACTCACTTTTGAGCTTTCAAAGAGACCCAACATCCCAACGTTTGCTTTTCATTGTTCTCCGTGAATTCCAAGAAGGATAGAGCAAGTCCTCTCATTGCAAAGTACATCTTGGCAAGATCACTCTGGATATATTATCTATACTATAGATTTACTATAGATGATATAGTAGGTGGATAATGTATGTAATTTAAATGACTATATTTTATACATGGAATATAAAAATTGTACAAACTAGTAGTAGATGTACACATTGCCTTTGCTTCCGTGCCCTACTTTCTCTTTCCCAGCCATTCAAATTTCGACCCCCCTGGGAAGGAGGTCATCGGCAAGCTGCTCAAGACCGGCAAGCCTCTTTTGGCCGCAGATGGCTAAGGAAGACCATGGCAAAGAGTTGGAATATACCATCTGCTTATTTAACATAGCCATGGAAAATGACCCATTTATAGATGGTTTACCTATTACAAATGGTGATTTTCCATGGCTATGTTAAATAACCAGCTGGTATATCATATTATATCAATGTCCATCTTAGAGGATGATCATCACTCCATAGGGATTTATTAATACCTTACATATCCTCACACAGCCATATTGCTGTTATGGGACGACCATAGCACAGCAACTTGACGGTAGCTGAGGCAAAACCAAGCTTGATTCTATGGGAGAAAGACACCGAGCCCTACGCTTTGCAGCTTGGCATCGTCGGGCATCGTCACGATGTCGTCACGGCCGTAGCGACACCTACACTTTGGAACAAGGAAGAGGGACAATGCCATCATCAAGCTTGCGAAGAACAGCTGCGTGGAGGCTTGGGATGAGGCAAATGGATGAGGCAAATGGATGAGGCAAATTTTTCTGACCTTCCTGGTCCAAGCATAGTCCAGTCTCGCAGGTGCGCATGTTCTCAGGGCACACACTCTATGACGTTGAAGAGGCTCTTGCAAAGAACAAAGGTGGCACACTCAGGGTATCGAAGTCGCGGCCAGGGTGGGCCAACATCCCAGCGAGGGGTTGATCAAATTCCGAGGCAAAGCTCCCACTACGAACAACGGGGTGGGAACATTGGTGAAGGCAGTTGCGGCAACATCACATGGAAGGAAACACCAGCTCTTGCTGAAAATACACAGAATTTGGATGCGGGGAAAGATAGGGTGCACCTGTCAACCATAGGAGGGGTACCCACATGTTGGACGTTGACATGCAGAAATGCCCGAAAAATCAATGCCCTTTTTTATGGTACAGGCCTGCACAGAGCTTGGTTTCAGGCCCTTGGTGAACCAGCAAAGCCTCTTCCACCCCCATCGAAGTTGCGGCAGCCTCAGATTGCAGAATTTATGTAGAATGTGTTCTGTGATATTGCTCCGCATAAGATTTGCTTCAAGCAATTGTCAGGCCGCCACTACCGCCCTCCGTTGCCAATGCGAAGGCATCAGGTGACAGTGGCACCCTGCGAATTCTGTGAGATCTGCAGCCTTGGATTCGAGGCTTACGATGTACCAACTTTGAAGCAGATGGGTTGGCTACTGAGAAGTAGCAGATTTGTCAGCTCAAGACACTTGGTTCGAGGTAGTCATAATAACACTATGCAGTTGGTGAAGCAGATTGTCTTTCTGAGATGCTGAGGTTACACAGCGAGTGGGAACCTAAGTTTCTGCCATCTTTTCAGCCAAGATCAAGTCATTGGTCGCAATGAAGCGATGTCAAGGTGTCAAACCCTACCTGGTTGGTGGTGAAACTACCGGCCTTGCGCGAATGGCCACCATGCTGAAGGCGACTGTCAGTTGATCCGCTTCCATGGACAGCCGTCGACACGATCGCCAGAAAACGTCGTACATCCGCAGCTTCAAGAAGCCGCAGACACGATCCACAGCTTTCGCACGTGACTCAACATTCCTCGAAAGTGACAGGGACATGTTGAAATGCAGAAACATCAGAAACGCAGATTCGACTGACAAAATGGATCGGTCCTCGACATTTTGTGGTCTGTTCCACATGTTCCAATCGTTCCAAGGATCCTCCGGACACCACGATGTTGTCACCCTACTTTAAGTTCGGATGCGTTGCTGGGCAGAATTTTGAGACTTGCGTTGCCCAAGGAGCATGGTTTTTTCGTAGCTTTCATGGCTGAGGTCAGCATTCGAGACTTCTACTGGGGATTGAAGAAGGCACAACTTGTAAGCACAGGGGCCAACAAATCCAACAAGAACGTGGGCCATTGTCATATTGAGGATCCACACATTTTGGACTTACCACATTACAGTGACATAGTGACATATATCGAGTTCTATCCGCAGCTTGAAGTTGCAGGTTTGTTCTGGAGCCAGCCATTCCAAGCCCCCCGAGTCCTTACTTGGCCAGTTGGGGGCTCAGATGAAGTCTGTTTCAGCCCCGAATCACACAGAGTTGACCCTTTACAGACTTAAGGCTGGGTCAAACGTGGTCAAACCATACCATGTTCGGGTGGAATAAACATTTCTTTGCCAACTATTTGGATGTTTCCACTGTTTCCACCAGCCAAGATTTTGATTTGTAGCCTGCCATAGCCTGCACTTCGCCATTTTTGAGTTTGAGACTCGGGACTTGTCCTGCCATTGAGGATCTACTTCAGAGAGATGGCTTACATGATGGGCGTGCTTGAGCTCAAACGTTGCTGGACCCTTTCTGCAGAACCAGAGATGCCTTCAACGTTCCAAGGCTTCCATTCCCAACTTCGATCGCCAAGCAGGAAATCCCAGCTGCAAGCCTTCTGCTCAGATGAGTCGATCCGTGTTGATCCGTGGTGCAGTGCCAGTGCTGTGGTGGTTGGCTGAGGCAGATTCCATGGGCAAAGAACCAGAAACTCTTGACAGCTTGGGAACATGGGAGGAGTGCTGTGTTGGTCATACGAGTCATATCAGTCATATGAGTAATACAAAACAAGCTGCAAGACATAGCCACAGCATGCCACAGCTTGAAATCAAGGGGAGCTGAGTCATTCCCTTTGAGGACGGGCTACCCTTACATCGATGCTGCAATGAGACAGCTGAATCAAGCCTGATCCCTAGCAGGGTGATTTCTTCGTACCTCCATGCACCATTGCTAGGACATGTTAGGACAAGGACCTGCACAGCAACTTCTGCAAGGTGGGTTGGATGCACCATTTAGCACGTCACGCGGTGGCGTGCTTCTTGACGCGTGGTGATCTTTGGCTTTCTTGGGAACAAGGTGCTCACCTTGTCTGTTCCATTGTGACCACCATTGCTGGTTTGACCAACGCCTGCTGGAATTTTCATGAGTGGACCACCCGAACCTATCCTGAACTAGCCAGCAAACAGGTCGGGACGTCTTCGACAAGCTGCTGCTGGATGCCGTTTGGCCCTCGTCTTTTCGTGAGAAGCTTCGGCTATGCTGGTGGTTTGATCGAAGTGATGAGACACCAAGGACTGGTCCTTGAACAACATGAACTGGCTGGCCTTATCTGGTGCTGCTCCTTGGTCTCCGCCCTTCTTTAGGGTCTACCACCCTGCTGGGTGCTGAGTGCTGAGACTGTCCAGCTGTTTAGGGCCTTAGGTGGTCTGTGGGATTGACTATGTTACATATGTTGACTGGTTTTGAAACGTTTTGAAAGTCAGTTGAAGAAACTGGTCATGCAATTTCCACATCCCCCGATTTCAAGACGCAAAACCTGCCCTGCTTGAAAACTATGGAGCCGATTCCAGGTCCCAAAAATGGATTCGTCGCTCAACGTGAAGGACCCTGAGGTCACTGCAGATCAATTCAAGCTTGGCAGTACTTTGAAGATCTCAGAAACTCATTCTTGGTTCCACTGAGGTGCCAACGATACAGACAATTTGCAATCAATTTGCCACACACATATATATATATATAATGTATGTATTTCTGTATATATATCCATATATCATATATCACATCCCTAACAGCCAATCATTTGACTGCGCCCAGGGGGAATTCATTCGCGAGTTCATCCCTGAACTGCGCAAAATGCCAAGTGCGGTCCTGAGCGAAGCGGACACTGTTTCCATGTTTTCTTGGCGGAAGGTGTTTTCACCCAACGGATCCTTGTGGCTAGGCAAATACATCTATGCGCCCTGGACAGCTCCCATGGAGGTGGGCAGGGTCGGCAGTTCGCCTTGACAGCTGGATATGGATCCACAGCCAGGTCCAGAAGGCAGCTGGTTGCATCGTTGGGAAGGAGAGATGATCTGGGTAGAGCCCAAAATGCATAGATCCGATACGAAATTCAGGCCGTTTAAAGTCTTAGGATATCTGAGGATTGTATTTAGATGTATTTAGTATTTGGGGAAAGAGATTAGAATGTTTATGAAGCCAATATGACATTAGGTCAGTCTGGATATCCTTTGACTCATAGAGATTCAAATAGCATGACAATAACTATAGGATGGCATTTTGCTTGGTGCATTTGCAGAGGCACTTTGCAAACCCTGAAGAGGACTACCCCAAGCCAATTGTTGACCATGAAGCTGCAAGCAAAGCTCGGTGCTTAGAACCCAGTGACAAGCTAGACATCTTGCAAATGTATTGCAAATGTCAGCAAATGTCAAGGCATTGTTGAAGGTCATGTTTTTTCGGATATAGACCATGGTTCTCCAAAAATTCATCAGGTGTAACCGAGGTGTAACCCCTGTAGATTTCGAACATTTTTCAACCCTGGCAGCCTGGCAGAGGCGAACCTCGCCCGCTTCAAGAAGGCGCTGAGCTCCGCACCCAAGACCAGCGCTGGGAAAGGTACAAAGAGGAGTTCCACTTCCAGTGGAAGCCGCGGCGGAAGCCCTGCAAAGAGGTGGAGGGGGCGCCTGAGGGTGTGTCATGATTTGAAGCAAAAATGCCGGAACACAAGGGATCACAAAAAAAAGGGATGGCAAATGAAATGGTAGCTGGCAATTTTGTTTGTTTTCGTACTTGCACAACAGGCAAATATCTGTGTTTCCAATGTTTCAGAAGCTGTCTTTGACAGGCCAAAATGGGGAGCCTGATCTGAGAACGTCTCACCGCCATTTATTTATCTAGATGGCCTGGCAGGAACTTTGCCCAGGTACAGCTGATTCTTTTCGCAGCACTTGCTGCCCCGCGGCGAAAAATCCCTGCAGTCTGGTATAGCGACGTTTTCGGGAGGTCCGCACTGCTGATGAAAAGAAACCGCACCTTTGGCCAAACCATGCTTCCAACCCTTTGCGGCAGGGGCTATTTCCAGCTAACATCAGACAGTCTGACTATTCGCAGTCCTTCCTCGCAGGCTGCACTTGGGTTGTGAAGATCGCTTTAAAGAAGTGGACTCCAAGGCTTGGGGACCTTGGGGACCTTGGGGACACTGGACAGTGGAGGAACACTTGGCCACCGACAGCACTTCTGTCGCTAGGTGAAAGCTGCGATGACCCGGGAGTTGAACACTGGAGGCCATGCAGTGAAGGTGGGGATCTCAAGGTGTCGAAGGGGCGGGTCAACATCTATGTGGGGGACACAAGCAGGATGAACATCATTGAACATCCACCAAAAACCAGCTGTTTTGTTGGAACATTCATTTTTTAGCAGCGATTTTCCAACACCAGCGGATTCCAGCTGGGCCAGCACAATGAGGTGGTCATCCCCAGCGCTGGGAAGAAGCGCAAAGCTTCTGCGGTGGAGGAGAATCCGGATGAGGTGGGAGATGATGTGGAGAAGGACAAGGCCAGGAAGATGCCAGGGCGACCGGCTGCAAATCCAGGATATCCAAATGCCTAAAGAGGCTTGCATATTTGCCAGTCCCCATGCCGAGCATGCTACAACCCTTCAACCATGCATCGTCGTCATTATCATGATCATTGTCATTGCAATGACTCTCATTTTCATTTTCTTTGGTATCAACGTTACCATTTGCTGCTTTGAAATGTCACCAGCATTCCAGATCATTCGAGCATCATAGCATCACATGGATGAGGTCAAAGCAGAAGCTGAAGAGGAAAAAGACGGAAGTGACGATGATGGAGCTGCAAATTCGAGCCTCATCAAGTGACTTTGGCATGGAGCTGTGCCACTGGAACTCAAGTCACTCAAGTCCTTGGGTTTTTGAAGGAAATGGTAGGCCCAATGGTAGGCTACTTCATTGATAGGGATGATAGAGGTGCTTCATGAAACGTTGCCAGGGGAAGAGCTTGGAACGCCCAAGCCCCCATCAATTTTAGACACAATTGAATTGCAAAGCTGCCAGGATTGGTAAGGGTGCCAAAGCAAAAGCAAAACCCAAAGCCAAGAGCAAGGCCACTTGTTTTGCGAATGGCACAGAGTGCAGCTGCTGATCCCATCTTCCAGGTCAGGTGGGTCTCTTCCAGGTCAGCTTCGCCCTTTGTTTCCCGGCCAAGATCAGGCGGAGATTTCAGTGCCCAAGGCTGACAGCAAGCCGAAGTCCAAGGCAAAGGCGCCTGTCTTGTTGCGTTTGTTGCCTTTGTTGTGTTGATCTTGGATTTTTGCCTGTTCTGCCATGTTCTGCCTTGTAGTTTTCTTGATGCATCTGTATTCATGACTATTCTCCTTCTGTGCTTTGAACCGCCTTTTCAGAGTCTTGACTTTTCATGGTAGGCAGAAGCATCACCCAAAACGGCCAAGGCTTTATTGATTGCATGCATGTTCTTCGATGGATGCATCTTTACTTTCAGCCTTGCTAGAACATGAGCTGCCGACCATAAACCTTGCTTCCTGGGTTAGCCAGAGAGACGTCCCGAAAAAAATGCCAAGGAGTCAGACGACCAGTAAGTACATAATTCAATGAGCTGCAAAGGTTGCTCAACATCGCAGAGTTAGTTCAAGAAAATCAGATCCAATTTGAACTTTTACATCAAAGTCAGAGGGAGCAGCACTTGTCAGTCCGAAAAGAACGGTCGGATTGGTGCAGGCCAAAGCAAAGGGACGAGTTTATGGCTCAGAATCCTGCCAAAACTGCCTTCTTTGACTGGAACAACATGTCACCAAAGAGCGTAGACAGGGGTTCATGCACTTGGTTTGCTGCTTCGCAGTATAGTATAGATGGATTATGAATCATTAACACATACAGATACAGTTGAATGATTTTTAGCGACAACATCACGGCGTTACCAATACTGATGACTAGGAAGGGCACGCCCTAAATTAACCCCTTATTCTAATTTCAGGTCAGCCAATTGTGTGATCATGTCCATCTTACATTTGATAGACACGGGGTTCCCAAAGTTTATTAATCCCGGGTTAACATTACTTCATCCATACACATTTCATTTGCAAAGTCTCCAAGATGCCAGCCAAGGCCACTAAGCGTTGAGGCATAGGGTGCAACCGCCGTCGGTTTCCAGCGTAGGGTGCAGGGGAGTGCAGGCTGTGGGGAAGTCGACGGGGCTGCGGGCTCCAAAATTGCGGCACGAGATGGCGTGCTGTTGGAAGTGAGAAGTGTGAGGACATTTGCAGCAAAATTTGCAGCAAAATTTGCAGCAACTTTTGACTTTTTCCTGGCATTGCTAGTGATTCTAGTCAATATATTTTGCATTTTGGTTCAAGTCAGCTGAAGCAGAACAGGTTTCGCATCATTGGCAAATTCGCTGATTGCACCTATTTGCGCCGAATTTCATAGAACTTGCTTTGTGCACCATGCAATGCGATAACAAATAGTTGGACAAGGGATGCAATGCCGATTCTGCCATGGCAGGCGGCTGGGATGAATGTCAGATCATACGGATCGCTGGTAGATTTCAATGCAGATCATTCTTCAAGAGCACAATCAAACAAGCTACCATATGAGCCACTCTTGCCTGGTAATCTCTAGACAGATATGCTCTGCTTCTTGCCCCTTTGGTCTTCTTGATCTCTGCTGCCGGCATTGGTGTCAATCTCAGATCGCACTGTGTCAATCGCCAGCCACTTTGATCTTTGTGCAAGCAGCTTGGGGTCAAAGTAAATCTTTAGAATCCAGTCTTCACATGACAGGGAAATGGCAAGAACAGTTCAAGATCAGTGCAGAAGACAAAGTGACCCAGAAATCGGTTTATTCGTTGTGTACTGTACTGCCCCAGGCGAGGACGAAAGACCGCTCTTTTTTTTGGGTCAGTCCAGAGACGAAGAGTGTCTTGCAGGAGGTGCTCAAATGGATTCTGGCAACCATAACAGCTGTGGATCAAACCTGATATGTACCCCAAATCATCCAAAATTAGACCATTTTAGTATTGAAACCTATGGTTTTGGAGATCCCCATTTTAGGAAAGAACCATATACCGATACCAATCACTTTTCTGTTTTCGTTTCCGTTGGTGAGGCAGCAGCTGCAGAGGGGGCCGCCTTGGCCACAAGCCACAGACACTTTGAGCACCAGCGAAGTCCTTTTCCTTTGCATGGCACGAGGGTTCAGATACATCATTCTTGAGAACAGACCACTTTCATGGTGGATTTTTTAGGGTTTGCATATCTTTCCAGCCATTTTGTGGGGGCATTTTGACAAACATTTTGCATTTTTCAAGACCTGTGTCGGACTTTCGCTCTCCATGGGCCGGCCGAACACAGCCCCTTTTGGCTCCATGGTGCTTCGGCTGATCACCGGAAAGAGAACCTCTGGCCCCAGCCAGGCGGCCAGAGCCAGCGTGGCCAAGTCACCCAACCGACCGAGCCAGGCAGGGCTGACGGTGACGGTGAATTCGCCAAAAAACTGTGGGTGGTTTAGGCAACTAACCTGGGGATATCATGGGTATATATATAACAATAATAATAATAATGATGATGATAATAATAATAATAATTAATAATAATTAATAATGATAATAATAATATATATATATATAAAATGTATAACTGTGTAACCAATGATGAGATGGATATAGTGGGTATATAAGTGGTAAAACCAATGATGATGTTGCAGATGCTGATAGAAATCAACGATTCTTTGATTTTCAACCATAGAGATGGGAGGATGATCCCCAAGGAAGGGAATGTTTTTCAGGGAGGTTGACTCACCAATACTAAGCAGATGATCATTTACCCAGATGGATATCAACATCTTGAGTAATTGATCTTAAGCTGGAGTACATTTGTTGCTGTCGCTGTGGATTTGTTGCATGAGAAAAATGCAGAGATAAATGCACAAACACAAGTCTTGCAAAGGCACTCCCAATTTATCGATAGCGATTGGTTTGACCAATCCACACTTTATTAGTGAATCCAGAGTTGTGAAGCCAGTAAAATGGAGATGGTTCATAGAAGGTCCACAAACATTACAGCGGTTGGTTCTGACATGTTTTGACTCGTATGGGTATGGCTCAAGATTATTGGCGCAATTTTCGTTGAGAAAAGGATGATAATGATTGACACTATTTTTTATTCCAAAATATTCACAGCAAAAAACATGATAGCTTTGTTGGTGAGAATGTTCGCGTGTTCGCCATCAGGCATCTGAAGCCACTAGCTCGGCGGAGGGCCATGAGGAGATGCAGAGTCGGAGGTCTGAACGGTGCTTGGTCATGCACGAGAAGATTTAAAACCAATAAGAACTACTAAGAACCTGAATTTCTGCCAGGTCATTTTCTAGTACCATTCTTCATCCAATTTCGGGGACCTCATTTTGCAGATGAAGATGTGTTTGCATCAAAAGTTGCCTTCATGAAGCACTTTGGGATTTCTGAAGCGTAGATCACCAGCCTTGGCAGCCAGAAACTTTTGCCGCTCAGCCAGTGTCAGCCAGTGGCTTGTCCCCAGCCCCAAGGCATCGCACGTTCGGCTGGGTCATCTACTTAGTTTGCCTGGAATCAGTGCGGCGACAACCAATGAATAGAAATAAAGTATCAAGAGAGAGTGAATAGTAAACTTGCTGAGGTTGACATCGAACCCGGCCTGGAAGTAGAGGCCGGCATTTTCTTTGGTAATTTGATGGCAAGAAGTGAGATGGTTTCTCCTGGCACCAGGATGGAAAGGTCTATTCTTAATCCCATCCCGCTAACATTAAACACACGCCAGAAACCACATGGTTTAGAAAGGATTTTACACATTTTGGATCATGTAGAACATGTAGGGAGTTTTAAATATTAGGGGGATGGGATGATTCAAAAACAGTAAATCAGTCAATCATTCAAACCTTGCAGGCTCTGGAGCCGGCATCGGTTCTCAATGAGTCCCAGATGCATGGGGGCTTCGCAAGTCTGGGCTTATGCCTAGGTTTTTGCCATTTCAATGGGGAAAATGATGACCAAACACAAGATTTTTTCAGGGAAAATGATGATACAGCACTAGAATTTAAGAGATTTTAAGGCCCCCGATTTTTGTACAAGCCCATCTCTGCTTATGGCTCACCTCCATTTGTGCCACAGAATTGCTGCCGAGGACCATGGTATTCCGGAAAGGGTGATGTTATCATACTTGCAAGGGGAGATTGAAGGTGAGACAGCAGTGAAGAATTTGCCAGCAACGAAGCTGCAGTTGACGATTCTGATCTCGTTCCTTGCCGCAGATTCTGCCCTCACGTCGAAAGACACCGGACCCAAGGCAGCCATTCTCCTCATCGTGTGGTTTTTGATGATGTGCCTTGCTCAAAAGAATGGGGACAGGAAATGTCATCGTGCGTGGCTGCGTGGTGTATCCGTTGTGTATCGCTAGGAACTTGTCTCATGAACTTCCGCCTACGATCCAAAGTATTGAGAAGGCCATCGACTTCGACATTACAGAGATGCTTGGCATGGAAACAAAGTCTGGTGATATCAAGTACTCTAATCCCTTCCACTTAATGTTGGAATACTATATATATATTTATATATATGTAAACATACATATAAATACCCTCCAAATCCCCCCAAATGAAACCTAGCTTTGATATCAGGGGGAAGGGACTATTGAAATAAACCTTTTATCCATCTTGAAGGGGGAACATGATCTCCATTGACTATGTGACCAGGAACGCAAACTTCGCATTCTCGAGTCCTCTCTACATGGGGCACAAGAACTTCATGGATCCTTAGAGTGCACAGAGGCATGTCATTGACATTGTGGTGACATGGATGGACTTTGCTTGAGGCAGCTGGAGATGAACCGAAGCTGTGGCTAAGGATGTGAACACATTTGCAGATTGGTACTCGTGGATGAATTTGGGCTTTTCGGCGACTTTGAAGCAGTAGTTGTCCGGTATCCGTGCAGAGGCTGTGCTGTTGCTCTGATAAGGCCATCTACTTCCCCAGCACGCACGCTGTTTCTGAAGGAGCAAACTTCAGCATGGGAACACAGACGTTCTTGGAAGCCAGCACGTCTCCTGGCAATAAGCAGACTGCTCCTGTGCATGTGCCGTCCCTGTACCTGCTTAGCCATCCACTTGCCGGATGCACATTCTCCAATGTTGATCCTACGTTTCACATCATTCCGTGTATGTTTCCTTGTCGTGTGACCAGCAGTGCGGCAGTGCCCTAGTTTTGTATCTGATATTTCTGATTCTCATGCAGATTTTCCAGGTATCTGATCCACAATCGGAAGATCGGCGGCGTGCAGCTTTCACAGCAGAGGCAAAGTGGAATGTTTCACATGAGGGGCCGTTTTTTCCTATGGGGTGTGGGTCAAATTCATGCCCCAAAAATGGATAGTTTAACAGTTTCATCTACCCTCTGGTAAACTAACATGTAACATAGCTATTGAAAATGGCCATTTATAGTTGATTTACCTATAAAAAATTGCTATTTTCATTTATTTTCCATAGTTATGTTAGTTTACCAGAGGGTAACTTTATGTTCAATACATTATTGAACAGCCAATATGTGGATCCACTGGTAACCCCCCAAACTTGACCCTCGCCAGCTGGACTCAGGCTATTCAGCTCGGAGTGCAGCAACCCAATAGTCTCGAAGCAGCAAGTTCTGACCCACATAACATGGGGTACCCCAATTTTCCGAAACATGTGACATTAACCCGGATCCCTCTGAATTGCTTATGACTTGGAATATGATTTGAGACTAATGTGCAGAAGGATTCCTCTGGCAGCTTGGACAATCGGGGAGCAAACAATCTTCGACTTGGATGAATGTGGGTACAGTAAAACAATAATAAACCCACCATTTGGGAATCGTTTATACAACCTATTTATGGTGATGACTGGGGGATGGTTTCTTATCGTTTTACCCACATTGATTAACGTAAAAATCTTAACCTCCATATTTTGACCGGAGAAAATCCATGGTTTCCTGCAATCAGGTCGCCAACGCGCTGGAGTTGACATGTTTAGACTATCGTGGCCTGGATTTGAGATTGAAACCTACAGAGCTGGACGTCTCACAGCAGGCGCCATGCTTGAAACATGTTAGGTTGATGTTTTTGGGCGCGGCCACGGGAATGTTTTACAATCCATTAACTATAACATGATACAACCTAATATAAGACAATACAATACAATAGAGTATGATATTCTGATAGAATATTCAACAATCAAATACAATACAATACACGGGAAAATATACGACATATGATATCATGCTTGCCATGTAATATAATTTGATACAATGTATATAATACAATACGATGTGATGTAATGTGATATAATACAACATAATGTAATGCAATGTTATGCAATGTAATGTAATGCAATGTAATGCAATGTAATGTAATATGATGTAATACAGTCTAGTATAATGTAGACAATGTAATGTAATGCAATACAAGGTGCTATAATGACATATATTGCAACATAGCTTAGTATATAATATATAATACAAAATTGGTATCAATTATAACTATATGTATTTGTAACTATAGCATTCTAATTTATTCAACTTTATTGCAATAATAGAACGCCATATAACACAATACATTACAGCGTAATGGAAATTATATGACACAACTAATCTACTATAATATAATGTAAAGACATATGCTGTAAGACAATATGAATACTATAATACAGTACAATATAGTAGAATATGGTATTATTTAATACAAGGTACTATACTATACTATACATTTCTATATTATATTGTACTATACTATACTACACTATACTATACTATATTATACTATACTACACGATACGATACCATACCATACCATACTATATCATCCTATAATGTGCTCCATCATTTTATTATACTATACTATACGATACTATGCTAAGTCTAATACTATTTCTAATACTAACAACAATGCAAATACCAATGCTCATACCTAATACCAATGCTCATGCTCATGCCAATACTAATCCTGGTACTATAGCATGATATGAGACAACATGTGATATGCAGATATACATGATGTATATGTAATATACATATCATTATGTGATATTATACGTATTGCAAGAGAGGTAACCCAGTCTACCTGAGTTGTATGTACTTAAGTGCATAAAATGTATTAGGGGTAGGATCTACATTCATTTATTTGGGGCGCACATGAAAACAATTTCTACTTCAACTTCTCCCTGCACAGCAGCAGTCTTCGTAGCTTGCATGTCTTCTTGCGGACCACTTTCATGATTTGTGGGAAAGGTTTGTGTGACTTTAGAGGCTTCTTGAGTGGTTTGTTGCGATGAAGAATCTGTTTGGATGCTTTTCCAGGCTGTATATATATATGTATGTATAATATATATATATGTATATGTATGTATAATATATATATATATATTATACATACATACATACATACATACATACATACATACATATATATATACACCTACATAGATATACTATTTATATTCTAATGTGCTTACCTGCTTACCTTCACTCACTTCCATACTTTACACCAACTCATCCTTGCCAAGGGTGGTTTGTTTCAGATCTCAGGTTGTCGAGTTTCAGTTTCTGCCAGATGCGCAGGATTTCTACGAAGATACGAACCGCACAGTCTGGATCGACTACCTCATGGAGTTTCCGGCTACTACCGCAAGCTGCACGCAATGGAAAATGATTTTCTGGGAAATCGAAAGAGGGGGGTAAATCATGGTAAATCACTGTCTTCACAGTATGTTTGCAATTACTATCGGTTGTGATCTTTCTGATTTGCAATTCTAATGAAAGCTAGCAGTAGCTGGTCTGAGTCTGACGGAAGTGATTTTTTCACGTGAACCCGTGAACCCCATCCCCGGTCACGGGCTCAAATCCTGCCGGGGGCATGCTGAGGTTCCTCTGTAGCTCCCAACGCATTCCCTTGCTCAAGTTTTGTTTGTGTGCTTTCGGGCATCATGTTTCCGGGCATTCTATGGTATGAATGAACCTTAGCTTTCGTTCACACTCAAGTTGTCTTGGTTTGAATCCGTAGTCATTTGTGCTCTGTGATGTTTGCCAGCAATCCCATCTCCCGGATATTAAACACCCCATAAATGGATATAAATGGTCTCAAATATGTGATTCATTTTTCCAATCCCCTACAATCCCCTACAATCCCCTACAATCCCCTACAATCCCCTACAATACATACATACATACGTACGTACGTACGTACGTACGTACATACATACAGACATACAGACATACAGACATACAGACATACAGACATACAGACATACAGACATACAGACATACAGACATACATACACACATACAAACATACACACACATACACACACATACACACACATACACACATACACACATACACACATACACACATACACACATACATACAAACATACAAACATACACACATACACACATACACACACACATACATACATACATACATACATACATACATACATACATAAATACATACATACATACATACATACAGACAGACAGACAGACAGACATACATACATACATACAGACAGACAGACACACAGACACACAGACACACAGACACACAGACATACAGACATACAGACATACAGACATACAGACATACAGACATACAGACATAGACAGACATAGACAGACATAGACAGACATAGACAGACATAGACATAGACAGACATAGACAGACATAGACAGACATAGACAGACATACAGACGTACAGACACACACGCACACATACATACATACATACATACATGCATGCATGCATGCATATACATATATATATAAACCTGGGGCCTGTTTAAATATGACCGGAGTAGGCTGTCCTGGCACCGAGGTAAGCCAGCAGCTGAGGGAGCTGGAGCAAAGTGGCTGGCTGGATGATGGCACCTACCGGGCCAAGGCCAGCCGCAGTTTTTCGAGACTTTCGACCAGCAAGACGACTGTTGCCTCAGTTGGTGGAGAAAATCTGCTGGAACCCCCAAAGTACTGTCATTGGTGGTAAAAGCATGTAAAAACCGTGGTTTCCGGTCGAGACTTTTTCAAAAAGCAACCCATGAAGTCAAAGCCTTGATGCCGTCAGGTCTCTTTCATGACCTACAACCAGATCTATGTGACATGGCTGCAAGATGCTGCAAAGTGAAGGAATTATTGCAATTATTGTCTGCAAGATGCAACCCTGATTTGTCGAAACTCTGTCGGAGCGGTGAAGGTAAACCCAAGAATAAAACATCCAATCAGCCAACCATTTGAGGATGGTGAATTCTTGGGTTTGCCTCGTTATGCCTGATAGAAGATATACAAATACAGGCCCGAGAAAGCTGCAGCCTAGGACGTACTGACAACGACCAGTGTGCACTTCCTTTTTGCGATCTCAGGCAGGCTTTTAGCAGTCCTCTACCCCTGATGAAGATCAAAATAGCTGGTATAGCTGGATGTTCATCCACCCAAAACTTGTATTTATAGATCCATAGACAGATGCAGCATCTCACTGCGTGCGCTGCAAGGCCATATCTTCAAGCAGATCACACACCGGTCCCAGACCAAGTTTTGGATGGAATGCCGTCCGAATGTGCAGGGTTTGCTTCTCCGATGTTTCAATCTGTGCTTGGAAAGGTCATTTAAAGTGGCTGCTCATTCAGAGTGGGAAAGCTGGCTCTATGAGGATGGGAAGCTGCAGTGTGTCGCACATTGTAGCACGATGTGTTGGTGGTTGCCGGAAGGTGCTCTTCTTCGGCCACATTACCATCATTTTCCTCTGCGAAGGCGGGCTGGGAAGGCCGACCCCGACTGAGCTGATGACTGAGCTGACCAGGATGGGAGGCTATTTCTACACTGCGGGAGAACAAGTGGAAGTTGGTGAAGGCATGGATGCTCGACAGAGAGGAATCAAGCAACTCTGACCGCCACTGACCCTGAAAATGGCCGACATGTTGAAACTGGTACAGCAGTATCAGCAGTTTGCATTGAATGTGGCATTTCTGGGCTCCTTTTTTGCTTGACAAGGAAAGCCTACTGGAATTTCTGGAATGTGGTCGATTGGGTCTCAATCATGCTTGCCTATGCAATTCTGATCACCTGGATCTCACAATGCACAGGGCAGGCAGGGCTGAAGGGGAGTGGGAAACGCATCCTTCAGGAACCGCGGATTCCCCAGCAAAATTCACCAATTTGCTGGATTGTCAAGGCCATCCATCCATCCATCCATCCATCCATCCATCCATCCATCCAGCCACCAACCTGCAGAATTCAGCGGGACAGCGATTTCCACCAAAGCATCATTTGTTGGCTTCATGTCAGGATGAGCTATCGCTGACTTTGAAGGTGCTTGGCTTAGTATAGTTGTACAAAAAGCGAGCCATGAGGTGAACATGGGTCATACTTATACAGAATACATTTGTATTCGCATGTGTATATATACCTACATGCATAACATAACATCACATAATGCATTACATTGCGCTACATTAGACTAGATTACATTGCACTGGATTAGATTACATACTTACATACTTACATGCTTACATACTTACATGCTTACATGCTTACATACAGACAGACAGACAGACGGACTCACGGACGGACGGACACACAGACGTACATACATATGTAGATACATGGGGTTGATTTGTAATATAGCTTACATTCCAAACCGCTTTAATCGGGATGATTAGGATCCAATGACGGAACTCCTATGGAAGCAAGGACTACTGGGGCCTCCATACGAGCTGCCGAAACTCCAGTGGCATGCAGAGCAGTGAGTGTCGCTTGGCCATACATGGCAATGGGAAA